TGACTAAAAGAAAGACAGATTTAGAAATTAGTTCAACCTTGCTATAGTTCAACAGCTGAAAAGCCTTCATTAACACACTCCCAGAGATAGCAATACATTCAGTATTCACTGAATGAAGTAGCCTACCCATCCCAATTTACAATTTCATTCATCAATTAAATAAATTATACTATAGCACATTCAATTACATTATTATTGTAGACTATAGGCTACTCCTGTATCTACCTTGTACAATACCGTAATCATTGAATGAAGTAGCATACACATCCACATGCACAATTTCATATATCAATTTGATAAAAAATACTAGCACATACAGTTACATTATTGTAGAATAGGCTACTCCTGTATCCACACTATATTAGGATACCATTATGATTTCATTGGTCTTGTCAGGCATGGTTTTAAGGTCTTCGATCGTTCCCTTCTTCAGTGAAAAGTAGTTATGCATCCCCCATTCAATTTAGTTTGAGTGTGAATGTGTAGGCCTAGTGACAGTGGAAAAATAAACCCAGAGCTCCAGCACACAATGGCATGTAGGTGTAGTGTATTACAATGTAAAATAGGTATATATCCTATAACACAATGTGTGTATATTTTCATTTACAATTTAATTAATCCATGAAATAAATAATACTAGCACATCAAAATACGTTATTATTGTACACTAGCCGACTCCCCTATCGACACAGTAAATAATATTGCTTAAGTGCTTTCCACAATACGTTATCAACTCCTTATCAACAAAAAGTAATTATTTTCAAATAAACAAAATTTGCCTTATCAACACAGTAGGCCTAAATATTTCCTAACAATATCACTACTTAAATATAGCCTACTTACTCCTCAATCGGATCAAGGACATCTGGTCTCTAAGGAAACTATCTGGGGCAAACACTCTCGAAAATCTCGTCTGCCGCTTGTAAAAAAATAAAATAAAAAAAATGAACCTCTGTGTCTCAGTTGAGCTCTCAAATACCGCACCTGTCTCTCACTCTTTTTTTAATCTTTTTTTTTTCTTCTTTTTTTCTTCTTCTTTTTTTTATTAAACAGTAACATGTAAAACACAAAACACAGAACAGCCAGAGGGATTACACAAATAAATAAGGAAGAGAGAAAACATTAAAACAATTATACAAATCCACATTATATCAAATCAGATACAGACATGTAAGGAATACATTTTTTTTTACATTTTGTTTTGTATATGTTTTAATGATGTTTTCCAAATCTGAGATTTAAAAAATACATTTTCCTAATAAAATAAAGAGATTGATGACATACTAACTTTCAATTGTGCAATCAGTGTAGTAAAATAATGTCAAACTTAGATGTTTCAAACAGTTTCCCATGCTTGTTCAATTAGCCATAAACAATTAATGAACATTCACCTGTGGAAAGGTTGTTAAGACACTAACAGCTTACAGAGGGTAGGCAATTAAGGTCACAGTTATGAAAATGTAGGACACTAAAGAGTCCTTTTCTACTGACTCTGAAAAACACCAAAAGACTGCTGATCGTCCTCGCAGTGGCAGACCACGTGTAACAACACCTGCACAGGATCGGTACATCCGAACATCACACCTGCGGGACAGGTACAGGATGGCAACAACAACTGACTGTCCGCAATAGGCTGAGAGAGGCTGGACTGAGGCTTGCAGGCCTGTTGTAAGGCAGGTCCTCACCAGACATCACCGGCAACAACGTTGCCTGTGGGCACAAACCCACCGTCGCTGGACCAGACAGGACTGGCAAAAAGTGCTCTTCACTGACAAGGTTTTATCTCACCACTGGTGATGGTCGGATTCGCATTTATCGTCGAAGGAATGAGCGTTACACCGAGGCCTGTACTCTGGAGCGGGATCGATTTGGAGGTGGTGGAGGGTCCGTCATGGTCTCGGGAGGTGTGTCACAGCATCATCGGACTGAGCTTGTTGTCATTGCAGGCAATCTCAACGCTGTGCGTTGTTAAGATGCAGGCTCATCTTGACATGACCCTCCAGCATGACAATGCCACCAGCCATACTGCTCGTTCTGTGCGTGATTTCCTGCAAGACAGGAATGTCAGTGTTCTGCCATGGCCATGGAAGAGACTGGATCTCAATCCCATTGAGCACGTCTGGGACCTATTGGATCGGAGAGTGAGGGCTAGGGCCATTCCCCCCAGAAATGTCCGGGAACTTGCAGGTGCCTTGCTGGAAGAGTGGGGTAACATCTCACAGCAAGAACTGGCAAATCTGGTGCAGTCCATGAGGAGGAGATGCACTGCAGTACTTAGTATCTGGTGTGGCCACCAGCTGCATTGTCTGTTACCTTTGTTCAGGGACACATTATTCAATTTATGTTAGTCACATATCTGTGGAACTTGTTCAGTTTATGTCTCAGTTGTTGAATCTTGTTATGTTCATACAAATATTTACACATGTTAAGTTTGCTGAAAATAAACTCAGTTGACAGTGAGAGGACGTTTCTTTTTTTGCTGAGTTTAGTTGTACATCAGTCCAGAACACCTCACTATGTAAACAATAGTTCAATAGATTCAGTTTCTAGTTCACAAAAACTGCATTCACTAGTAACATCAGGTATATACACTGCTAAAAAAAATTAAGGGAACACTAAAATAACACATCCTAGATCTGAATGAATGAAATAATCTTATTAAATACTTTTTTCTTTACATAGTTGAATGTGCTGACAACAAAATCACACAAAAATGATCAATGGAAATCAAATTTATCAACCCATGGAGGTCTGGATTTGGAGTCACCCTCAAAATTAAAGTGGAAAACCACACTACAGGCTGATCCAACTTTGATGTAATGTCCTTAAAACAAGTCAAAATTAGGCTCAGTAGTGTGTGTGGCCTCCACGTGCCTGTATGACCTCCCTACAACGCCTGGGCATGCTCCTGATGAGGTGGCGGATGGTCTCCTGACGGATCTCCTCCCAGACCTGGACTAAAGCATCCGCCAACTCCTGGACAGTCTGTGGTGCAACGTGCGTTGGTGGATGGAGCGAAACATGATGTCCCAGATGTGCTCAATTGGATTCAGTTCTGGGGAACGGGCGGGCCATTCCATAGCATCAATGCCTTCCTCTTGCAGGAACTGCTGACACACTCCAGCCACATGAGGTCTAGCATTGTCTTGCATTAGGAGGAACCCAGGGCCAACCGCACCAGCATATGGTCTCACAAGGGGTCTGAGGATCTCATCTCGGTACCTAATGGCAGTCAGGCTACCTCTGGCGAGCACATGGAGGGCTGTGCGGCCCCCCAAAGAAATGCCACCCTACACCATGACTGACCCACCGCCAAACCGGTCATGCTGGAGGATGTTGCAGGCAGCAGAACGTTCTCCACGGCGTCTCCAGACTCTGTCACGTCTGTCACGTGCTCAGTGTGAACCTGCTTTCATCTGTGAAGAGCACAGGGCGCCAGTGGCGAATTTGCCAATCTTGGTGTTCTTTGGCAAATGCCAAACGTCCTGCACGGTGTTGGGCTGTAAGCACAACCCCCACCTGTGGACGTCGGGCCCTCATACCACCCTCATGGAGTCTGTTTCTGACCGTTTGAGGAGACACATGCACATTTGTGGCCTGCTGGAGGTCATTTTGCAGGGCTCTGGCAGTGCTCCTCCTGCTCCTCCTTGCACAAAGGCGGAGGTAGCAGTCCTGCTGCTGGGTTGTTGCCCTCCTACGGCCTCCTCCACGTCTCCTGATGTACTGGCCTGTCTCCTGGTAGCGCCTCCATGCTCTGGACACTACGCTGACAGACACAGCAAACCTTCTTGCCACAGCTCGCATTGATGTGCCATCCTGGATGAGCTGCACTACCTGAGCCACTTGTGTGGGTTGTAGACTCCGTCTCATGCTGCCACTAGAGTGAAAGCACCGCCAGCATTCAAAAGTGACCAAAACATCAGCCAGGAAGCATAGGAACTGAGAAGTGGTCTGTGGTCACCACATGCAAAACCAGTTCTTTATTGGGGGTGTCTTGCTAATTGCCTATAATTTCCACCTGTTGTCTATTCCATTTGCACAACAGCATGTGAAATGTATTGTCAATCAGTGTTGCTTCCTATGTGGACAGTTTGATTTCACAGAAGTGTGATTGACTTGGAGTTACATTGTGTTGTTTAAGTGTTCCCTTAATTTTTTTGAGCAGTGTATTTAGAAATCAGGCTATTACATGCATAGAATCTATGGATAATCTTAAAGGAGATCTCCTTTACTTTATTGGTCACCATAAATATGTGTGGAGTGAGTCAAGTACGGCTATATTACAATTTATTTTTATAATCCACATGATTAAGTTACTTTTCTATATAATAATATGCCATTTAGCAGACGCTTTTATTCAAAGCAATTTACAGTCATGCGTGCATACATTTTTGTGTATGGGTGGTCACGGGGATCGAACCCGCTACCCTGGCATTACAAGCACCGTGCTCTACCAGCTGAGCTACAGAGGACCACAAGGCTACATATGACACAATGAATTTCCAAGCAGATTGTTAAAATTGTGGATGTCAGGTGTGCTGCTAGTTCAAATAGTTTTTTAGTTTTGTCAAGAGCAGCATCTGAGAACAATTGGTTTGTAGTCAAATGTCCCTCCTCGTGGTCCGTACTAATAGCAGGACGTGTTGGTTTACACAGCGGTTTACAGCAGAGGGGTTGACAGTAGAGAACGTAGAGATAGATAGAGGACTCATCATAGCTATAACTTGTTTTAACATGGACATTGCCATTGAGGGTTTCCACCATTTTAAAGTAGCCAACTGGGTGGGGATTTCTATGGGTTGGGAGCAATTAGCCAATGCAGAAAAAATGTACTACTTAAAAATTGAGATGGCCTCAATGGCGCTGCCAATGCTGTCACAGACGCCAAAATGGCAGAGATACGAAGATGAGTGCTCTATCTATCTCTATGGTGGAAAGTCGACAGGAAATGTGACGTATCCTTTGTTGTGACGATTTTAAGAATTCTTAACATTAGTAAAATGGCAGAGTTACGGTTGGATTCAGACAGTCATTTACAGTATGGCCCTTTTGGCAGCGATTTAGCGGATATTTGCATTGATCAGGATGGTGAATGGGGTACGTGCGATGTTTATAATCTTTGTTATTAAATAAATAGCTGCGTTGTAAACGCTAGCTACATGCAACCCCAATGATGTGTATAAACCCTATACATCATTGCGTGCAACTTCATTGACTGTCAGGAAATGAGATGGCACTAGCGTATCAGTAAACCGTATACTTATTCCAGTGCTTGTCTTGGACTGAAATAGGTACCGGTACTGTTTACATTTAGATGCAGGAGCTCCACAGTACTTTTGAGCCAACATGAAATAAGAGGAACAGGAGCTCAAACAGGAGAACATTTGAGGTGCGGGTATTCGGTTTCGGTGAGCTCCTGCCGAAGTCAATCACTGCTGTGTTCAATATATAACATGCGTTTTGATGCTCATACTCAGCAGTACAAACCGAACGTTTTGACTGGGTTGGTCATACGTAACTTTTCCCCCATCTTGCTGCATCTTTGAATGTATTGAAGCTGCTTTGGAAACTTTGACTGATCTCTTGCAACTGTGGTGTCCGAACAACGATGCTGCGATGATGTGTTGATAAGAAATCCGCTGACACTGTACTTCAGCATCAATTTACAGACTCTGCAGAATCTGGAGAGCAACGAAACCAATCCCAAATATGATTACTCTCCTTGTCCTTTTGTTAAAACATGATATATATATCCTATGCTTTATGTAACATAAGATGGCGTGATTTGAATAGACCAATCCCTGGCCTCCACATATCCGAATCTCCACTGTTTTAGGGGGCCCCTATAGTAACACTTTCCAGATGTTTGAGCAAAGTAGAGTAAAGTTCATCTAACCAACAATATGAAAACCTCAGATACTACACAACCTTGAAACATACATAATTATCGACTGTCATCCTTCACTGATCTCTTCCTCTTGCAACATTGTTACAGACATCAACCTGTTTGAAGAACTTGAGAACCTAAGTGATGCAGAGGAACTCCTTCAAGAATTTGAGTTCTCACCACATAATAAAACAACATGGAAAGAGGTGAAACAACATATTTCCCCTCTATGTAATGCTATGTGTTATTATCCTACTGTGTGACAGCTAACAAGACTGCACGTTTCTCAGGTGAATGACATTAATCTGTTACAATGGAGATCCTTCGCCAGTGGAGATACTGACGCTTGCTGCACAGGTAAAAATCATCAGCATTGCATCACTTTCAGTTAACCTATAACAGCAATGACTCAAGATTGGGTTGTTGGCCCCATGCCAAGGCAAAGTAAGTGAAGACGACTGGTAATAGATTAGAAAGCATATACAGTACACACACACACACACAGTCCCTCTACGTAACCTGGTCACCCCCATGTCAGTAGACATTAGGTGGCTGTCTTTGGCGTGGGAAAGCTGCACCTGTGAGGCCCCCGTACTGTGTTGGGTAGAATGACTTCATTCACACAGGATGTTAAAGAGACACTGTAATGTGATACCTCTGCTAACAGACAGTTGGATTGAGTTCCTATTGTTTTGTTGGCAGGTGTTGGAGTGCCTGGGTCCTCCCTATCACCTGGATCTGCACTCAGTGATACCTCCTCACTGTCACCACTGTCCCTGAAAGTAAGTCTACACTTCACATAACACTCTCCCCCTATGTACAAGTAGAAGGCTAACCACTCACTACTCTCACTTACTTCTCTCTTGTGCATGCATCTCCCTACCAGCAGGAGGATGCTGTGTCTATGCAGCCTTTGCCGACTATGCTCACTCCCCAGAGGGTGTCCATCCAGCCCAAACCGCCCCCCTCTGTCCCCCTCACACACCCTGTGGCCCCTTTTCTCAAAACCAGGACCATTGTCATCCAGCCTGTTGGCCTACAGACTGTGGTCTCAGTGGTCAAGGCACCATCACCTGTGACGGTCCATGCTACTGCCCCCTCTACTGGTGAGAGACAGAATGTTCATTCTGTTGTAGGCTTGTGTTGACTTGATACAATGAAATGTCTTTACGAGTGATTTAAATAATGTGCACAGTTTGTTGTCAATAATGTCCATCTATATTGGTGAGTCTTATTCACTGAAGTAATTCCGGTTATTCGGCTTGCTCAGTCCAATAGTCCTTTGATTTGTTCCCTTGTATCTCAGTTGGTAGAGCATGGCGTTTGCAACGCCAGGGTTGTGGGTTTGATTCCCACGGGGGACCAGTATGACAAAAGTATGAAAATGTATGCACTCACTACAATAAGTCGCTCTGTATAAGAGCGTCTGCTAAATGACTAAAATGTAAAAATGTACACATTTGATCTAGTGACCCATTTCCCTATCTTAAGTGGATAAGTGCATATTGTCTATATTCCTGATTGTGGCATTTGAAAGAAAAGTAAAAGCAGAATCAACATTCTGTGGACAACACCAAAATGAAAGAGGAACAGTTCTATGCGTTTGTATCTTCTATGACTGCACATGTTGCTCTTGACCACAAGGTGTCCTCAGTCTGTTGTCTCTTGTTCAAATAAGGCTACTGCCTCCTCCTCAAATACAGCAACACAGTGTCCAGCCTATGATCAGTGTATACCATGCAGTAACCTCAAGGACAGAGTTTTCCACTGTGTGGAAATATTAATGTTTAAAAACATATATTTCATGAACGTCAGCACAGAGCACACTCATATCGTGTACCTGCCGTAACCTCTAATTTCTATGCCAATGATCAAACAGATACATCCATCATATAGGTATTGATGTCATCTGTACAACTACTCACCTCCTCCAATGTTTCCTATTCACAGGAGTCATCCATGTTCTCTCTGAGGCAGTAGCATCATGGCCCATTAGTAGCCCGACTAAAATACTTTAACCTCAGTAGGACCTTAGGGCTACTTTTATTATTACAGAGTAATTAGCATGGGAGCGTTCTCCTCTGCAGGCCCCTACTACAATCCATTAGACTTCACTAGGGCCAGGGCTTTGAAGGTGACTGTGGCAGGGCTTTATTGTTTGATAATGGGTCCTTGGAAGACAGCTGAAGGGGTCTGAGGGAGGGACAGGCTCTCAGCAGTAAATTAGTCTGACTCTGGACATGGAGTGGGATGGATCTGGGGTTTTGATGAGTTTATGGGGGTCAATACAGATGACCTGACATCCTTAGTGATCGTGGGTGAGGATGAGGAAATTTTTTCACAGTCTGGTTAGAAAGAAAACAAATACTATCTGAATCCAGGTCTGATCGTATGAGATGAGCATTGTAAAGAGCTATTGTACATGTTCCCCAGCTGAAAAATGCTGTCTACTATGACAGTATTCCATCAATTATTACAGGGATGTACTCTGAGTGGAAATGGCCCCAGTGGGACATAGGATGGTCTCAGATCTGGATGTGCTTTAACTCGTCTTACTCTGTCATGCCATAGTCTAAAGCTAATCCAGGTCTGGGACAAGGCTAAAACAGACAGACAGAAGGGTTGACCTCTTTCATAACTCTGTATCTGGTCTTTGTCATCAGCAGGTCACACAATGCATCTCAAGCCGAGACAGTTGATTGGACCACAGATCGCTTCCCCAGCCCCTGCCCTCCTCACTGTCACCAACCAGGTGGTTACCATGCCAACCGTCCCCCATCATGTTACCATGGGGACCACTGTCCTCTCTGGCCCAGCCCATCCCATGACGGTGACCTATCACAACACAGCAGTGGACACTGAGGTATGTTTGACATTGAAATGGATCTGACCTCCGTAGAGCACTGTATGTGTCTGCTTTCTATTGACCTTTTTGGAGAGTAGCTTCCAGCATAGTGTTCTGGCTTATTCCATGATTTATTCACTCAGATTAGATGCACACAGTGGTGACACGTCTAGCCTAAAGTCATATCTTACTCCAGTCAACAAGCCCGGGTCTGCCCAGTGTCCATCCAGACATCTGGAGGGAGGTGGGAGTCATCAAGAGATATGGGTGTCTACTGCCTGGGGGGCTTGGTGGTCCCAGACAGGTGGAGGAGGGAGGAAGCTGGTAGTTAGGAGGGCACTGCTGCTTTAAAACCCACAGGCCCTGAGAGTGGTCAGACAGAAATGGAGCACCTGGATTTTTACTGTGGTAACACTTACCTGGGGAAGTTTGTCTCACGGATGGAACACATCCGTGAGACACTCCCCCAGGGAGTAGAGTGGTGGGATCTGTCCTTATGTGGTTGGTAAGTTAAATATTTATAACAGTGACATTTTGCAGCCTAAAATAGGTCAATAACATGATGTGGTGAGGAGACATTAGAAACATCTAGAACAATGTTTTCTTGTAACGTAAAACATATATCTAAAACATATACCTGTCTCTTAACAACTGGGATATTTCAGCTTGTTCTTAAAAAGGTCCCTCAAGTGAAGATATATTTAGATTTGGCGTGTTGGCACAGTGTTGTGTCATCGCTGAGTAAATGTTAGTAGAACTGGGGATGGAGCGCTGGTGCCTGGTCGTTCATGTGACATCGGAAACCCCCTCACATTAGGCTACTCACCCATCCCAACAAGGTGACATAAGGACAGCTGGGGTGACTGGTTTATTTAGCCTTGTCTTGAAGGAAAAATAACGTATAATGGTTAACAACTGTTTAGGACCATGTGTAGCACTGTGGTAATGAAAATGATATTATTTGACTTTTCTAAAATTGAAGAAAGTGGATAAGCTGAATATAGAAGAATTGAAAAATATCTTATTGTTGAGGCAGCAGTTTCTCCAATACAATTTCTAATTATTTTGTCTGTGTCATGCTACAATATTTGGGTTTTACAGTGTTAAAGCTTGCCAAAAATCTTTGACCTGTTAGTAGCCCTAGTAGTAGCTATCGAGTTGTTGGCTCAGTCAGATTATTTACAGCTTGTTGAACATGACTGGAAATGATGAAAATGAAATATTTATATAGTAGCTCAACAGACGTTAAACAGTGTAAAAAAAATACTTTCATAATGATTTCCTACTTCCTCAATATGATGGTGCTATTTTCAGATCACATCAAGACCCCAGCTGAACTCTTAGACTATCTCAGAAAATTTAATTACTTCAGTCTCTAATTAATTGCAGTGAAATTGGGTATCCCAAGAGCTACCCGTTTGAAATGGAAGCCAAGGGCTGGATGGACATCTTCTTGCAATTTTCCGAAGGAAACGGTTTGATTCCAGACCTTCTTTGAGTCTCACTCTGTGTTAGAACTGTTAGCCATCTCCAAAGCTTACGTGGCTATGTGATGGCCAGAATGTAGTGGCGGGAATTTTGCTGTGTCATGGCTTTTTGCCTTGCTAGTAGACAAGGATGGCTTTTTTGTGTGTGTGTGTGCGTGTGGGGGGGGATAGGAAATTGAAGAAGAGTGTCTTCCTCCTCCTCCCACCCCTGAGGCTCATGTAAGGCTGGTAATGACCTTTAACCCCCTGGGAACCTCAGTAGGGCACATTGTCTGAATGGGTCTTTTGAAAGGCCTAACTGTCTGTGGCTGTGCCCAGACAGTGAGGACAAGGAGGCCCACAGGAAGATGGGTGAGTTATCTCCCTGTTTCAAATGAAAGAGGAGATAAAACAATCGTTGACATCACCGGTAAAACATGACAGTGGCTTCTGGCTTCGCCTTGTACCTAATATCACCCCTTAGCCCTGATATATTTAAAATGTAGCTCAACCTATCACAGCCTCTCATTCTGTTACTAATTATGTCATACATGACCATATGCAATGGTTATAGTTTTAACTTAAGGGTCGTTCCGCCTCAAAAAGCACAAGAAAGAGGATTTAGACACCCACCAACTCCGATTGTTCTGAAATAATTTCTGTAGTTAGTAACAGATACATTCCTGAAACATTATTTTGTTGAAATATAATTTTATCTCAGAAATTAGGCTAATTGATTGAACCCAATTGGCAATTTAAATGTATAGGTTTCAGATAATATTCAATGAATGTAGTACCCAAATACGATTTGGACCAAACATCTTCCTAGCAATGAGTAAGACATGAGGAATCCAAAAACATGGTCAAAAGCCACCCACGGACCCCCCACACCACATGCCAATCCCACCCTAACAATCAGTATTCAGTATTAGTTCTCTATGTTTGACAAGTTGTATGAAGCTGTGGCTTGGAGTATTGCTTCTCTGTACTATGTAATGTATTCCCTGTTAATCTGGTAATGTTTTTTTGATAGCAGGAACATAGCATTGATATTTCATATCAATTTATGGCCGTGCTTCTACAAAGCAGGGGCAGGCTATGTAGTGACGCTGCTAGATATTCACAGTGTAATGTAGGAGGCCAACTTCCTGCCAAAATGTCTACTAGATGCTCATGGGAACTGGAAGCGACGGCCAAGGAATAGGATGAATGGTCTTCAAAAAGCAGTTTTTGAATCTTCATTCAGAAAAACGAACAGACAAGTACAGTAGGGATGTATAGATAGATTGATAGATCATTTGTATGGCTCATGGTGGAGAAGGCTCGAAAAGCCTTTGCTGGATCCTAATTCACTGCCTTTGAAGAAATACAGTTCATGTATTGTACTGTAAGTCTGTGTACAGTACAATAGCATAGGGCTTAATTCAATCAAACCCACATTGTAGTATTTGCTGTATGCAGTAGCTCTTTTCCTGTGATAAAATAAAATCACTGGATGGATTTGGGTACTGTTAAAACCAATTTTTACTAGTACCAGGTAGACATCCCTCACAGGTAGATGCCAATTCTCAGATTAAGACGTGTGCTTGTGCATGCATGCACACTCGTGTCTGGGCAGTAGTTTGTAAACAAAGGAACTGCTTAAAAATGGCTACGGCAATTTAAAACAATGGCGTAAAACAATAACTTCATGGTCCTGCGAGCTTGATGTTATCTCACCGCACAAAAACGGCTTATTTCCCCATTTTCCCCCCCCCACCGCCCAGAGTGTTACAACAATCATCCCATCCTCCAATCAACAACCACGCTGTAATCTACATTTCTTGACAGCGCCAACTCATAGTTTCATATAATTCTAATTTTCAGTGTCTGATTTAGATTATGTTCCCGACTCCCTGTTTTCGCCACGGTCACTGAAGTGCTAGAATGCTGACTGTCTACCATTGTGGAGGAGGGGGAGTTTGTACTGTTGGCAATGTAGTAGTTACTAAAGGCAGGGTATCATTTTCCCCTTGCAGGACACGTATCCTCCCCCTCACCGATGGCAGCCCCCCCCCCAAAATACATCTGTTTCTACGGAGACCAAATAAAACTGTGTGGTCTGAATTTGCATAGCTCCGAAAGCTGTGCTATTAGAAATGTTACGAAGCATGGCCTCAGAAATGGGGTGCAGCAGTGGTCTATGGCTCAGTGGTAGAAAGACTCAGAGAGGGCATTGGAGGACATCAGAATGTATGCCAGTTACTAAACTCTGAGTGTCTGGCTCTGGGTTTACATAAACAATGGCTGTCTGCCTTCTAAAAATACAATGGAACTGTTAGGCTTAACCTGTGCGCTATATTCTGTTTCATTTAATCAAATTGATTATTTTCCTAAAACATTGCAAGAGCATTCCTCTCATGGTCATTCTTTAACACTCAGAATGTCCTGTCCCCTTCTCTCCTCTCTCCCTGTATGGTCGTCCTTACATAATCCCACCATTAATTATGTCGGCGTCTTAACAATGTCCGTCCAGCTCCCAGCCCACTCCGACATGGGAAAAGGCAGTGTGTGCGTGCAAGTGTGAAGTTAGGACGAATTAGGTCCGTTCTGGGGAAACATGCTGGAGTCATTATCAGCTTGTAATTGATGATTCCGGGTCACTTTTTCCATCTTTCGCAGCAGCTGCACCTGTTGAGTTTGACTGAGTGAGTATGTGACTGAATGTAATGTGCTCTGTTAGATAAACAAATAGCCTGCTCTGTCTGAGCAGTCAAGATGGCGTCCAAAAGGTGTTACTGTCGGATATGGCTTATGTCTGGTGTAACTGGCGTCACCAGATTGGTTTTGTAAACACACAGCCAATGCCATCTGCATGCCCAAGCCAATGTACTCGTATCATATAATCTTCAAGTTCTGCTGTGTTGCGGACATCCATTTTGAATTGTTAATGTTTGTTCTGAATAGGTGGAGTTGGTTTAAGCATGGTGTTTGCGAGTTGGTGTGGGTTTGATTCTCACATGGACCACATACTGCTGAATATGTGTGGTAACTTTGAACTTATAAAAGCCCCTGTCTTATGACCATGTCACATTATTATATCAGTCCCCCTTTCTCCACCTGTCCAGGTGTGTGCGGTGCGGCGGCAGCAGAGGATGTTGAAGAACCGTGAGTCGGCCACACTGTCCAGGCTGAGGAGGAAAGAGGCCCAGCAGGCCCTGGAGGCCCGTCTCAAGGGTGCACTGTGTGAGAACCAGAGGCTGCTCCGGGAGAACGGATCCCTCAGAACCCAGCTGGAGGGACTGCTTACTGAGGTGAGGGACGGCCCGGTTTGAACACCTTCAAATTGCACCCTTCCTTGAGAAAATCACAGATCTAAAACGTAAGATAAGTGGAAACAATGGGGTGGAAACCATGACTTTATCTTTTCACTCACTTACATAGCAGTGATTATCTTAAGGAAAGGAGGAAGCAGGGTTGCGTTTTGAAGGTATTTGAACAGTGCCACAGGCTCAGACAGGCACTAAGAGCAGGGATGTGTTTAATTCCAGGAAGTTGCTTCGTCCCTTGTACTCTTGATCACTTTGGGGATCTGATAGGACTAGAAAAGTGTCTAGCCCCGTATATTTCAGAGGAATTCATAGGTGAAGCATTAAGCAATATGGTAGTAGCCCCACCTTGGCCTATGATAAGCGAGAGGGGATTTTTGCCACATTGTTAACACCTATCCAATCCTCTTGGACCTCCGCAAGTGCACAGGGGCGGGGCGCTAAGGGTCGATTCATTTTATTGAAGTAATCACTGATCTAGCATGATTTGATAGGTGAACGTTTGTGCCAATGCATAGCTTGCGTAGAGCCAGCTAGGTTAAATCCGTTTTTTGGTCTCTTTCTCCACAGAACACTGTTCTGAAGGTGACGGCTCCAAAGAGACGAGCTGTGTGTCTCATGGTCGTCCTGGTCTTCTTCGTGCTTAACACTGGTCCCATAAGGTGAGCACTGGTCACTGGTGTGTGTTTATGTGTGTGTCACTACAACCCTCCACAACCCCTCATGCAGTGTCTCACTGTAGTATCTGTCACAAACAATGTGTTTGAGTCTCTCTCCTCCAGTTTCCAGACTTAAATTCAACCACATTCACATATGATCATCCATCCAAATGAATGATCTATCAATGGGCGGCTTTTATGTCAGCCAGTCAGTCAGTCAGCTCTTTGCTATGTCCAGATCTCGATAATTCACCAACATGCTGTATAAATTAGGCGTTTTCCCCCAATGTCTTGGAAAAAGTGCCACATCCCCCCCAAAAAATTCCCTCATGAAGGAAGGCTTCGGAAAGTTGGATGAGAGTCGGGAGAGGAGAAGGGCTTCGAGTTTTCCATACGCTCAAGCTTCCCAGAATTAGGAATGTGGGAGCGTTGCTTCCCTTCCACGCCGGCCGGCCGGTTTGGAGACACAGCCTGGACATCAGCTTATTTATTTCTACACTCTAAATGTATTATATCACTCCGTTCTGAATGGACATGTCCCTTTAAATCCTCTCACAAGTATTTGTTCAATAAACCCTGGCCAGGAGCTGAGTGAACGTTCGCTAATGTTTCCGGCTCATGGTGAGACTAGTTTAATAAAAACAACACCAGTATTTCCAGTCATAGCTTAAATCATCATCAAATGTTTTTTCAATGAATAAGGTCCTGCTGCTGAGTTTATATTTTGTCACTCACACGTTTGGTTTAATTTGCAGGCATTTGAAGGGTGTAAGGTTTTTTGTAACTGTTTTAATTTGATACTACTGCACAACTTGTCCATATAAGGAGCCCATAGACGTGTGTCTTTGTGTTGAGCGCTTCTCTCAGGTCTTTACAGGGTCTGGTATTGTTTGGGCTCAAGTAGGAGACCACACAGTGTTATCCTCTTCTCTCTCTCTTTCGCTGTGTGTGTGTGTGTGTTTGTGTGTTTTAGCCAAGAGTGCCATCCCTCTCCTAAGCCACATGAAGCTCTTTGTGGTTTTCAGTCTGTTGTCTGGCCACAATGACCAATCCTCTGCTTCCTGATCTGTTGTTGAGATCAATCTTCCTCTTGTCTTCATCGCCCAACTTTGTTGTTTCATGCTTGTGTAGGCATTTTGACCATTTTGATAAAAAGTTTGACTTCTTTAGGAAAAATGTTTGAAGAGCCTTTATGGATTCATAACAAATTAAACACTACCATCAAATTGTCAAATTGAAAACAGTTTTCAACCACTGTGTGTGTGTTTTTGTGTGACCGATTCACTACAGAACGTTCCTGTCCTTAAAGGGAAATACTTTAAAGTCTCTAATGCTCTAATAATGTTCTAATCAATGTGTGTGTGTTAGTCCATATTGTTCTTGCTGTGTTTGGCCTGGCTTATGTAACTGAAGGCCTTGCCCTGTCCCTCTGGTCTCAGTGTGTGGGAGTCAGAGCCCAGCAACTTCAGCCTGTCCACTGGGAAGCCACAAAGCAGCCGACATCTGCTCAGCTTCTCCCCTGACCAACAACTGAGGAGTGGGGAGGAAACACCAGCCCCCCAGTCCCCACTGGAGCCCCTGGATGCCCAGTACCCACAATCCCACCAATCCCAGGACAGGTAATTAACACAACATGAACATGAGGGTTTCCTGACCCAATATACTTATAATACTGTTTATACATATGTTCTCTCTAAAAATATACAGTATGTGTGCATGCACGTACACACACACACACACACACACACACACACACACACACACTATTGTTCCCAGGAGTTTATTTTAATTTTTCGTTAGTGTTTTAGTTTGTTTCCTTTGAATTGCTTCTAAATGCGGTCTGCTGCCATGACAAACTGATTCATTATCGGTTTGTCTTGGACATCTGTCACTGTCATTTCCTGCCCACAATGATTTAAAAACCTAATCTATAACAATTTGTTCCACTCACAGTCTCACACCAGGTGGTTCCTTCTCATATAAGGATAAGTAAAACCAAAGAACCATTAGCACAGCACTCTAGCCCTATAGGAAACGTGATGCACCGTTATGTATCAACGAGAACCAATGGTTTCTGCTAAGTCTCTCACTGACTTGTGATTGTACCTCAGTGTTCTGGCAGAGCCTGTCTCGAGACACTCGTTTCCCAGAGCCTGAAGAATGACTTAAGGAAATAGATGGGATGCGCTTACTGTACGGGAATGTAAATTACTGTAATCATATGTCTGGGGTACACCCTAGACTCGTTAATTCATTGGAGAGGGACCCAGTTTTCAGAAGTACTTTGCTGTTTTTATGGACTAACGGAAAATCAACTAGAGGTGTGAGGTTGCATAAGTGTTTTCAGTGTTCAGGTACTCTTTACAAATGACAATTATCTCACAATTCACGTAATCTTGGTTCCCAGAATAACAAAATCTTGCATGCACCCTGACAGGAATTACACTATTTACACACCATCGGCCAGATCACGCGCAATAAAAGAGTTTAGATTGATAGGCTTTAAAGCTGGAATTCTTAATTGGTGAAACTTCCATGTCCGTTAGGGATATTACAACAACAAAGTAGTTACTGCAAAAGTAGTTACATGCCATGAGGATGAGAGGAAATGTTGTAGTTTTAAAGCAAATTTCCTGCAATTCTACAAATTTTTCCATTGTTTCTAAAATAGATGTTAAAGAAATTGTTTGGAGGGACAAATCGACCTGTGGCAATTTCGCCTATGCTTTAAAGCTACATCTTTGTCTTGGAAAAATGCTCACGAACCAGGAATAAGATTTGTAAAAAAAAGAATCATGCTGAATTGAAGAAAAGTGGGTACACTCAAGTGTTTTACCAGGCTTCTGGAGTAGAATCAGATGCATCCAAGAGCACTTCATTCTGTCCAAAAAAAAAAGAACTGTAGAGGGGTTTGGTCTGTTGTTTCTGTTTGAATAAGCGTCTATTTCCAGCCCTTCTTTTTTTGAGGGGAATGGAGAGATTGTTCATTTTATCTTGGTGATAATATTTACATCCTGTTATACAGGACTCACATATGTTTACCTTATTTAGACACATCATTCTGTGGTGAAAAATCTGTGGGTTGAATTGGAGTGTTACAAGCAGAGCACAATAAAATAGTATTACAAGGGGTGTGTCTTTTTAGTGACCAGTTTAATTTGACAGTCACCACTGGTCGTCCCCACCCTATTGTGGCCTTCTGATCTGGAGCCCAAGGCTCATCTGGTTAACAGTTTTTGAAATGGAACAGACCATTTATCAAACTATTCCCAGGAGACATCCAGTCCAACGTCTCCTGCTGTGTGCGTGAAGAAGAGAGGTCACTGGCTCTGCAGGTTATTTTTGCAGGTCACTGCGTAAAACTCAACTTAACCCCCTTCATTAACTTATGACCTAATTCATCAACTGAGGGGAAATTTTTGGCTATCGAGTCATCTGCAGAGTTGTTTGTTCCAGATGTGAATCAGCTGCTCGTTTAGAACTGATGAACACAGGGCCTCCCGAGTGGCGCAGCGGTCTAAGGCACTGCATCGCAGTGCTAGAGGTGTCACTACAGACCTGGGTTCGATCCCAGGCTGTCACAGCCAGCCACGACCGGGAGACCCATGAGACGGCGCGCAATTGGCCCAGCGTCGTCCGGGTTAGGGGAGGGTTTGGCCGGCCGGGGCGCACGCACGCTGACTTCGGTCGCCAGCTGTACAGTGTTTCCTCCGACACATTGGTGCGGTTGGCTTCCGTGTTAAGTGAGCAGTGTGTCAAGAAGCAGTGCGGCTTGGCGGGGTCGTGTTTCAGAGGACGCATGGCTCTCGACCTTTGCCTCTCCCGAGTCCATATGGGAGTTGCAGCGATGGGACAAGACTGTAACTACCAAATAATTGATGAACACCTGGGATGGCCAGAGTAAGTAACTGATTATTCCGGTTAATATTCCAGTCCTTAGGCCACAAGGAAAAGCCACAGCATACACCAGCATATCAGCAGCTGGATCACAACGAGATCACAACGAGGGGGGGTGAATGTGTTGTCGGTGTTGATTAATCTCTCTCTCTCTCTCTCTCTCTCTCCTCTCTCCCTCAACAATAAAGCTCAACCGAGCGAAGAGAGAAGAGGAGAAGCGAGAAGAGGCGAGACACACCGAAAAGAACGAGAGCAGAGAACGAAAAGCAAGACCAGAGAACCAAGAGAACAAAAGAAGAGAGAGAAGCAAAGAGAGAGAGGAGAGAGAGAGAGAGAGAGAGCGGAGAGAGAGAAAAAGAGAGTAGAAAAGAAAAGAAAGAGAAGAGAGAGGAAACTCAACTACCTCTCGCTTCCTTCACAAACCTTACCTCTACTACTATCCCTAACACACATCCTCCTCTCTCCCCTCACCTCACTCTCTCTCTCCCCCCTCACCTATCTCTATCCTTCTCCTCTCCTCTCTCTCTCTCTCTCCCCTCACCTCTCTCTCCCCTCTCTGTGCAGTAGGTGGGAGGATTATACTCCAGAGGAGATGGCTCTAGCTGTGGTCAAGAAGGAGCCTCTCCTGTTTGGGTCACCCTCCTCGCCCCCCTGCCAATCCCACTCTCCTGTCTCTAGGTCCAAGTCCCTCCGGTCAGTACTAACCAAGTCCATCTGATTAGTAGCCTACTAACAGCCGAGAATTTGGTTCTACTTAGCCTCAATCTTCCAGCCTTCTTGTCTCGATCACCAGTATGGAAGCAAGATTAGAACATCTGGCTACATAAGACTAGTGTACCTCGATTTCAGAATTATAATTCCATATTGAATTCACTGTATTACCTACCTGAATTGAGTATAAATGAGTCCACTCAGTACTCTGTAGAAGCTAGCCTTTGTCTTTCTCATTGCTAACTAGACACTAATGTGTGATCCATGTTGGCTGCTCATCAAACCAAACTGTTCACCAGTCGTTTTGACGCCGTCACAGTGGACTGAAAAGGTGTCTGGAACTGTGAAACTCACTCAATCTTCAATCCATCGTCATTTGAGAGGGATGAGGTTCATATGAAAGCTAGCAGCTGCCTTCAACAGTTCTTACATTGAAGTTAATAAAGTATGACTTCTAACGGAATATTCCTCCTTCCCCTATAATCCAGTCTGGCTCAGAACTTGCGAGGCTGGGTTCATCGACACGAAGAGGAGAGGACCAAGTCCACACGTTCAACCACTGATCAGTCCAGACATACAACAACTGATCAGCACACAACCAAAACTGTCCTGGTAGGTTAGACACTCTTCTATGACCTGCTTGCCTACAAAACAGCGAAAAAGCTATACTAACCAGGTCATTGGTTTTCCCTGGTCAGGTCCCATGGCCCTAATAGTGAGATGTTTTAAAGTGTGATCAAATGTCCGTAATGGTCATTGCAATTTTTTTGGACAGGTTATTAAGCAGTACCTCAGAGGATATTTAAACTGTCAGTACGTAGGCCGATGTCTACTCCAATAGAGGTTTCAGGTTTCAGGCGCGTGTCAAGACAGCTCTCCATGATGACTCATTTAGGAGAGCTGCCACAGGAACATAAACAGTTTAGTGAGAATGTGTATCTTTCTTGCTATGAGGTCACAGCTGCCGTCATCTGACTCAATTTGGCTAATAGCTAAATATTTATGTTTTTGTTATAGGTAACACTGAAATTGAATTTACGGTTATAAAGCCTTTCTTGTGTTAGATCCTGATATTAGTTGATGGCATTTTACTTGTTTTTGCTATAACACTTTTTTGGGGCCGAGGCTGCGTATTCGTAGGTAACCGTCACGCCCCCGTCACCACCCCGCCCCCCCTGGATCCCTTTTCCACAGAGCTGAAGATCCAAATCACGTTCTGTGCATGTGTTTCTTTACGCACACATTTTTGTTGTCACCCTCCCTTCACATTTCTCACTGTCAATCTTGAATTATAATTCTTCATGTTTACCAGTGGAACATCCAAGAAGCATCTGCATACCAACCATTTGATCCCAATCAGTTTCATGGGGATATGCATTTAGATATTCTTGAGTTATACAGTGTTGTTTCAAGTAGCCTACAGTGTTTTGAATTATGTAGTGAGCGAATTGCAGAACAGATGGTGTTAACAAACTGTAGCATAGCCTGCCTGTGCTTTGTTTCAATCAAAGCACATATTTTGTTTAGTGGCACGCTGTTGAGTTATGGCCACATGAGAGACAAATGCGACCATTCGCACAATCATCCAAAAAATCTCATAAGAAATGAGGTGGTGTTTTGTTTTACAGTAACGTTATACTATGCTATAATATTTGGTTCTTTTATGTAGAACACTATCATTATGTGACCTTGCAGACATTGATTCAGCTTTGATCTAATGTTATTAAAACAACCATTATTCGCTAGAGTAGCCAGTTCTCTATGAGCAGAGACCACTGCCATAAAGTAGAGAATCCCGCACGTGCAGAAGTTTCGCGACCTTAAGCTGTCAGGAACAAGGGTCCAGAAAAGTTGGATCCACAGCCACTCCGTATTTTGTTATGACATCTGTTATGTGCCATCTATGACAGCCTAAATAGAGAGGTTTGAAGACTGGGTGCTATAGACCGTATTATTGTTTTAGACTGACTTCCATTTGAACCCAGTGAGTCAAGTATGCTGCTTCAGAAGGTGAGGAGCCCAAATCATTAAATCAGTTTTACAGGCTCCTTCAGCCGGTTTACATTATTATACAGACTGAGCTGCCGGAGAGGACCGGGATCTATAAAGGAGCTATATAGCTCCGCAAATGTAGTCCTAAAAAGTTGGTCCCACTTAGAAACAAAATAATGTGAATTTGAGTGCTTGGCTGTTTTAACCCTTTACGCTAGTGGGAATTGGCCTATATGGATGGGGTTAAATTGAAATGTTTCTTACAGAAGAAATATGAAATGCATATGCATAACCATGGTAGCAATTGAAAGGGAGCAGTTTTGAGATTTTATTAGACCAAAGGTGAGGACACAACAGTTCACATGACACAAGATTGAATGTAAACATTAAACTGTTGATTTTATGTGCATTTTACATTTACTGTACTTTTCTCCACATTTGTTGATAACGAAATCTGAAAATACTCTGAATACATTCAGTAACATAAGAATATTCCTGGAAAATGTGTTGTAGGTGCAACATAAGCTTGTTCTATTGCCAACATGACTAGCTAAGTTATAAAATATGATATTACAGTGGTAGGCTTTCACACAATTCAGGGAAACGGATCGTAATGTTGGTGTGCATAGAAAGGATTACAGTAGACAAACAGGCTCATTCTGTTCAGAACAACCCAGGGTATGACACCATGTCATCTTGTAACTGTACATCAAACATAATGATCATAAACGTTGACACTGTACATGACATGACATTTATTTACATTTACATCATTTACCAGACGCTCTTATCCAGTATTTGTCTAATTTTTATATTTTTTCTTATTTTTAGAGTATATTTTAATTTTTCATTTGTTTTATATATATATATATATATTTTTTTTTTTTTCTTTTTTTTTTTATTGGTATGTATTTATTTTTTTGGGGGGTGGGTAGAAGGATTACTTTTATACTATCCCAGGTATTCCTTAAAGAGGTAAGGTTTCAAGTGTCTCCGGAAGGTGGTCAGTGACTCCGCTGTCCTGGCGTCGTGAGGGAGCTTGTTCCACCATTGGGGTGCCAGAGCAGCGAACAGTTTTGACTGGGCTGAGCGGGAACTGTGCTTCCGCAGAGGTAGGGGGACCAGCAGGCCAGAGGTGAAAGAACGCAATGCGCTCGTTTGGGTGTAGGGACTGATCAGAGCCTAAAGGTAAGGAGGTGCCGTTCCCCTCACAGCTCCGTAGGCAAGCACCATGGTCTTGTAGCAGATGCGAGCTTCAACTGGAAGCCAGTGGAGTGTGCGGAGGAGCGGGGTGACGTGAGAGAACTTGGGAAGGTTTAACACCAGACGGGCTGCAGCGTTCTGGATGAGTTGTACAGGTTTAATGGCACAGGCAGGGAGGCCAGCCAACAGCGAGTTGCAGTAATCCAGACGGGAGATGACAAGGGCCTGGATTAGGACCTGTTCTGCTTCCTGTGTAAGGTAGGGTCGTACTCTGTGAATGTTGTAGAGCATGAACCTACAGGATCGGGTCACCGCTTTGATGTTAGCGGAGAACGACAGGGTGTTGTCCAGGGTCACGCCAAGGTTCTTTGCACTCAGGGAGGAGGACACAACGGAGTTGTCAACTGTGATGGCGAGAACATGAAGCGGGCAGTCCTTCCCCGGGAGGAAGAGCAGCTCCGTCTTGCCGAGGTTCAGCTTGAGGTGGTGATCCGACATCCACACTGAAATGTCTGCCAGACATGCAGAGATGCGATTCGCCACCTGGTTATCAGAAGGGGGAAAGGAGAAGATTAATTGAGTGTCGTCTGCGTAGCAATGATAGGAGAGACCATGTAAGGATATGACAGAGCCAAGTGACTTGGTGTATAGAGAGGATAGGAGAGGGCCTAGAACTGAGCCCAGGGGGACACCAGTGGTGAGAGCACATGGTGCGGAGACAGATTCTCGCCACGCCACCTGGTAGGAGCGACCTGTCAGGTAGGACGCAATCCAAGAGTGAGCCGCGCCGGAGACGCCCAACTCAGAGAGGGTGGAGGAGGATCTGATGGTTCACAGTATCAAAGGCAGCAGATAGGTATAGAAGGATGAGAGCAGAGGAGAGAGTTAGCTTTAGCAGTGCGGAGAGCCTCCGTGACACAGAGAAGAGCAGTCTCAGTTGAATTACCAGTCTTGAAACCTGACTGGTTTGGATCAAGAAGGTCATTCTGAGAGAGATAGCAGGAGAGTTGGCTATAGACAGCACGCTCAAGAGTTTTGGAGAGAAAAGAAAGAAGGGATACTGGTCTGTAGTTGTTGACATCGGAGGGATCGAGTGTAGGTTTTTTGAGGAGGGGTGCAACTCTCGCTTTCTTGAAGATGGAAGGGACATAGCCAGCGGACAAGGATGAGTTGATGAGCGAGGTGAGGTAGGGGAGAAGGTCTCCGGAAATGGTCTGGAGAAGAGAGGAGGGGATAGGGTCAAGCGGGCAGGTTGTTGGGCGGCCGGCCATCACAAATCGCAAGATTTTATCTGGAGAGAGAGGGGAGAAAGAAGTCAAAGCATAGGGTAGGGCAGTGTGAGCAGGACCAGCGGTGTCATTTGACTTAATAAATTAGGATCGGATGTCGTCAACCTTCTTTTCAAAATGGTTGACGAAGTCATCCACAGAGAGGGAGGAGGGAGGGGGAGGAGGAGGAGGATTCAGCAGGGAGGAGAAGGTGGCAAAGAGCTTCCTAGGGTTAGAGGCAGAGGCTTGAAATGTACAGTGGTAGAAAGTGGCTTTAGCAGCAGAAACGGAGGAAGAGAATGTAGAGAGGAGGGAGTGGAAAGATGACAGGTCCGCAGGGAGTCTAGTTTTCCTCCATTTCCGCTCGGCTGCCCGGAGCTCTGTTCTGTGAGCTCGCAATGAATCGTCAAGCCATGGAGCAGGAGGGGAGGACTGAGCTGGCCGGGAGGATAGGGGACATAGAGAGTCAAAAGATTCAGAGAGGGAGGAGAGGAGGCAGAATCAGGAGATTGGAGGGAGAAGGATTTAGCAGAGGGAAGAGATGATAGGATGGAAGAGGAGAGAGTAGCGGGAGAGAGAGGGCGAAGGTTGCGACGGCACATTACCATCTGAGAAGGGGCAGTGAGTAGTGTTGGAGGAGAGCGAGAGAGAAAAGGATACGAAGTAGTGGTCGGAGACTTGGAGGGGAGTTGCAGTGAGATTAGTAGAAGAACAGCATCTAGTAAAGATGAGGTCAAACGTATTGCCTGCCTTGTGAGTAGGGGGGGACGGTGTGAGGGTGAGGTCAAAAGAGGAAAGGAGTGGAAAGAAGGAGGCAGAGAGAAATGAGTCAAAGTATTTTATGATATGGAAAAGTGCACATTTGGACTCAAGGGTGTTTGGCTCACTTGTATGACATCAAAGCAGTATTTATTATAATCCTCAATGTCTCATCTTTCAAAATACACCGGGTCCTCTTAATTTACAGCATTTCCCTCACTCAAGTCAACAAAAAATGTGCTAAAGTTGCTCAATCACCGGGAGGGATGGGGGCACTTCTTGTTGCGCTCGGTGCTCAAGCTCAGAACAGCTGTCAGTCAAAACCTAAACAGCGCTGTGAAGATCTGAGCCTGAGCTCTGAAGTCATGTATAGCATGTTACTGTACAGCCACTGCGTTTCAATTTAGCCGTTTTCGGTTACGAGTGTAAAGGGTTAACATTGGTTGAGAGAGTTCACATAAAGCTTTTAACCATGTCTTCATACAGTGTGCGCTGCACAAAACTGCCCTTTGTTACTGTATGCACCACTTACTGTAGAGAAAAACATACTAGGGAAGACACCCAAAGAAATGCTGCCACTAACATTAGTTGACATGGGACGCAAATGATAACCAGATCAAATACAAACTCAGACGGCTGATTCAGATTTAGCTTGCTTTAGACACTTACAATAGTCTATCCACTCAGAAATCGACTGCTTGGAATTTTGATTTTGGGAAGATTCCAAATGTTTCTAGCTTCCTGTGTAAGATATATTTAAGGGGGTCGCCTAATTGGAAGTGGGGGTTTTCCACTGTTAATGACACCCTCTGGGTCTTGCAGGAAGTTGAGTGAATTCTCTGTGATGATCGTCGTGGTAGGTAGAAGGAGGGAGAGGATATAAAGCTGTGAATGTTTTATAAAGTTGGAGTTGTACAGCGTTTCATGCTCAAGGCTAAGACCTCTCACAAACAGATGGAAACTGGGAGCAGACCGTTCCAAACTATTTACAGGCACTACTACCACCATCTCTCCCATGCACGTAACCCCCAGGGCTAGACCTGGACTCAGCCTTTCTTCTCACTGGCTGTGTCTCACATGAAACGCTACTCACAAGGAAGTGCACTACTTTTGACTAGAGCCCTGTTGCATTGGTTACATACAGTGTGAGTGATCAACTCTTCTCAAGGTACTCTTTTATACGACTCAGATAAATACATTTCCTACGGTACTTCTTTGGATGTGTTTAAACGTTAAACTCTTCCAGACTTTCCTGTCCTTTGGAAAACCCCTATGCATTTTCCTCTATCTGTAGCAGAACGAACTGAAAAGAGGTAGAGACCTGTGATTTCTCCGACCTGGAGATTTGATCTATCCTAGTTTTGCAGAATATTGGCACCTCCTTAGCGCTTTGACCTCATGCTCTTTCTTCTGGGTTCCCACGTTGAACCTACAGCATAATTTGATGAGAAGAAGCTAGAAGACTCATAGGGCTGACTATTTCATTCCAGTAAAGCGCAGGGCAGAGGTTGAACCCCAGACTGTAAGTTTATTACAGTGCAGCTGAAAAACCCCACTGAGCTCCATGAAACGCACGGTGAAGCACAGGCTTGGAGAGCCCTCTACGCGTTGGACGAACCCATCTGTAACTCTCTCTCTCTCCATCCTCACCAACCTGCTGTGTGGAAAGACAAGAAGGGACAAAGTGGAGATAATGTTTGTTGTTGTCATATTTCCTGTGATATCACTTTAAATATTAGACTAGAGTGTCTTACCAGGTCAGGCCGGATTCGTTGCGGAGCGGGTCTTGAAAACCGCCTCACTCCACTCTTCTAGTCCCACAGGAATGAGGCTAGCACGCATAGTTTGAGGAGGGATATTTCAGGTGAAAAGGGAATTAAATCTACGGTACAGACTGTACATCATACAGGCAGGCTGAATACCAAACTCAAGCTGTTCATGAGTAATGCCACTGTCTCAGATTCTGCAGTGAAAGCAAATCAAATGTTATTTGTCACATGCGCCGAACAGGTGTAGACCTTACCGTGAAATACTTACTTCCAAGCCCTTAACCAACAATGCAGTTTTAAGAAAATAGATTTAAGAAAATATTTACTAAATAAACTAAAAGTCAAAAATGTAATCAAAAAAGTAACACAATAAAATAACAATAACTAGGCTATATACAGGGGGTACCAGTACCGAGTCAATGTGCGGGGGTACAGGTTAGTCGAGGTAATTTGTACATGTAGGTAGGGGTAAAGTGACTATGCATAGCTGATTTCTATTTTGTACTGGAGTGACGTTTTTGGTTTGCTATGGTGTGCGTGTCGAAATATGTCTGCGTTTGGTTTATCTTGACCTCTCGGTCTCTGTGGAGAGTATGTCCTGAATGGAGAAACTTGGCACAGAAAAAGTGATCTGTTTCTATCGGTCTCTGTATCGCACATCTGTGTGTGAGACTGATTTCGATAGCACCTAACTGGCTGAATGATGAAGAGAGTTGGACGAGCGTCTTCTAGATTTACCATCACTTGCCTCTCTATTTCTTTTTGGTACAGAGCAGATAACCCAGTTAGATATGAAAGTCTAGTCACTCCTGCTTAGTCACTTTACCCCTGTCTACATGTGCAGATAGTGAGCTCCAAAAGTGTTGGGACAGTGACACATTTGTTGTTGTTTTGGCTCTGTACTCCAGCACTATACAATGACTATGAGGTTAAAGTGCAGACTGACAACTTTAATTTGAGGGTTTTTTCATCCGTATCGTAGTCAAAGTAGTCAAAAGTTTAGTATGTGGTCCCATATTCCTAGCACGCAATGATTACATCAAGCTTGTGACTCTACAAACTTGTTGGACGCATTTGCTGTTTGTTTTGGTTAAGAATAGAATATGTTTCTAAACACTTCTACATTAATGTGGATGCTACCATGATTACGGATAGTCCTGAATGAATAGTGAATAATGATGAAAGAGAAAGTTAGACGCACAAATATTATACCCCCAAGACATGTTTTTGAGGGTATGATATTTGTGCGTCTGTAACTTTCACACTCATCATTATTCACTATTTATTCAGGACTATCCGTAATCATGGTAGCATGCATCCACATGAATGTAGAAGTGTTTAGAAACATATTATATTCTTAACCAAAACAAACAGCAAATGCGTCCAACAAGTTTGTAGAGTCACAAGCTTGATGTAATCATTGCGTGCTAGGAATATGGGACCACATGCTAAACTTTTGACTACTTTGACTACGATATGGATACTTTAATACACATACAGTACCAGTCAATACCTGGAATGCATTTCAATTAACAGGTGTTCCTTTGTTAAAAATTAATGCGTTAGAGCCAATCAGTTGTGTTGTGACAAGATAGGGGGGGTATATCATTACTTTATGACATGAAGGTCAGTCAATCCGGAAAATGTCAAGAACTTTGAAAGTTTCTTCCAGTGCAGTCGCAAAAACCATCAAGCGCTATGATGAAACTGGTGATCATGAGGACCGCCACAGGAAAGGAATACCCAGAGTTACCTCTGCTGCAGAGGATAAGTTCATTACATTTACGTCATTTAGCAGACGCTCTTATCCAGAGCGACTTACAGTTAGTGAATACATTATTTTTATTTTTTATTTTTCATACTGCCCCCCCCCCTGGGAATCGAACCCACAACCCTGGCGTTGCAAACGCCATGCTCTACCAACTGAGCTACATCCCTGCCGGCCATTCCCTCCCCTACCCTGGACGACGCTGGGCCAATTGTGCGCTGCCCCATGGGTCTCCCGGTCACGGCCGGCTACGACAGAGCCTGGATTCAAACCAGGATCTCTAGTGGTACAGCTAGCACTGCGATGCAGTGCCTTAGACCACTGTGCCACTCGGGAGACATTAGAGTTAACAGCCTCAGAAATTGCAGCCCAAATAAATTATTCACAGAGTTAGTCACAGACACATCTCAACATCAACTGTTCAGAGGGGACTGTGTGAATCAGGCCTTCATGGTCGAATTGCTGCAAAGAAACCACTACTAAAGGACACCAATAAGAAGAAGAGACCTGCTTGGGCCAAGAAACACGAGCAATGGACATTAGACCAGTGGAAATGTGTCCTTTAGTCTGGAGTCCAAATTGGAGATTTTTGGTTCCAACCGCTGTGTCTTTGTGAGACGTGGTGTGGGTGAACGGAGGATCTCCGCATGTGTAGTTCCCATCGTAAAGCATGGAGGAGGAGGTGTTATGGTGTGGTGGTGCTTTGCTGGTGACACTGTTTGTGATTTATTTAGAATTCAAGGCACACTTAACCAGTATGGTACCACAGCATTCACAAGCCATACGCCATCCCATCTGGTTGGGCCTTAGTGGGACTATCATTTGCTTTTCAACAGAACAATGACCCAACACACCTCCAAGCTGTGTAAGGTCTATTTACCAAGAAGGAGAGTGATGGAGTGCTGCATCAGATGACCTGGCCTCCACAATCCCCCGACCTCAACCCAATTGAGATGGTTTGGGATGAGTCAGACAGCAGAGTGAAGGAAAAGCAGCCAACAAGTGCTCAGCATATATGGGAACTCCTTCAAGACTGTTGGAAAAGCATTCCAGGTGAAGCTGGTTGAGAGAATGCCAAGAGTGTGCAAAGCTGTCATTAAGGCAAAGGGTGGCTATTTGAAGAATCTCAAATATAAAATATGTTTTGATTTGTTCAACACTTTTTTGGTTACTACATGATTCCATATGTGTTATTTCATAGTTTTGATGTCTTCACTATTATTCTACAATGTAGAAAATAGTAAAAATAAAGAAAAAGCCTTACATGAGTAGGTGTGTCCAAACTTTGGACTGGTACTGTAAGTGAATTTGTCCCAATACCTTTGGTCCCCTAAAATGGGGGGAAAACGGTTCACCTGATATGGATGAAATTACCCTCAAATTAAAGCGGACAGTCTGCACTTTAACCTCATAGTCATTGTATCTGTCACGCGGGTCGATGTCGTCCAAGTATGACCAAGGCGCAGCGTGTCCAAGAAACATGACTTTATTTATTCAAAAGTCTGGAACAAAACAACAAAACACGACCGATACGTGAAGTCCTCTGCAACACTGACAGAACTAAGAACAAAAACCCACAACTCCCACAAGAAAACATACAGAATAAATATGGCTCCCAATCAGAGATAACGAGCCGACAGCTGACACTCGTTACCTCCGATTGGGAGTCAATGACCAAACCTAGAAATACAACCAACAGAAAGGCAAACCTAGAAATACAAAACCAAAACCCAACAAATCAAAATACACCCTGGCTCAAATACAAAAGTCCCAGAGCCAGAGTGTCACAGTACCCCCCCCTAAAGGTGCGCACTCCGGGCGCACCAGCATACAGTCTAGGGGAGGGTCTGGGTGGGCGTCTGTCCACGGTGGCGGTTCTGGCCCTGGTCGTGGTCCCCACCCCACCTTAGTCACTATCCGCTTCCGTAGCCTCCTCCACATGACCACCCCCCAACTACACCCCACTGGATTAAGGGGCGGCACCGGACTAAAGGGCAGCACCGGACTAAGGGGCAGAACCAGGATAAGGGGCAGCACCAGGCTAAGGGACAGCACCGGACTCAATGGCGGATCCTGGCTGGCTGGCTCTGGCGGGTCCTGGCTGGACGGCTCTGGCGGATCCTGGCTGGACGGCTCATGGCTGGCTGAAGGATCTGGCTGCTCATGGCTGGCTGACGGATCTGGCTGCTCATGGCTGGCTGACGGATCTGGCTGCTCATGGCTGGCCGACGGATCTGGCTGCTCATGGCTGGCTGAAGGATCTGGCTGCTCATGGCTGACTGACGGATCTGGCTGCTCATGGCTGGCTGACGGATCTGGCTGCTCATGGCTGGCGGAAGGCTCTGGCTGATCCTGTCTGGCGGAAGGCTCTGGCTGATCCTGTCTGGCGGAAGGCTCTGGCTGATCCTGTCTGGCGGAAGGCTCTAGCGGCTCCGGTCTGGCGGACGGCTCTGAAGGCTCATGGCAGACGGGCGGCTTAAGCGCCTTTGGGCCGACGGGCAGTTCAGGCCCCGTTGGGCAGACGGCAGACTCTGGCCGTCTGAGGCGCACCGTAGGCCTGGTGCGTGGTGCCGGAACTGGAGGTACCGGGCTGAGGACACGCATCTCAGGGCTAGTGCGGGGAGAAGCAACAGGGTATGCTGGACCCTGGGGACGCACATAAGGGCTAGTACGGAGAGCCGGAACAGGGCATGCTGGACCCTGGGGACTCACATAACGCCTAGTGCGGAGAGCCGGAACAGGGCATGCTGGACCCTGGGGACTCACATAGCGCCTAGTGCGGGGAGAAGGAACAGGGCATGCTGGACCCTGGGGACTCACATAAGGCCTAGTGCGGAGAGCCGGAACAGGGCATGCTGGACCCTGGGGACTCACATAACGCCTAGTGCGGAGAGCCGGAACAGGGCATGCTGGACCCTGGGGACGCACATAAGGGCTAGTGCGGAGAGCAGCAACAGGACGCCCAGGACTCGGGGAACACACAGGAGGCTTGGTGCGTGGTGTAGGCACTGGTGGTACTGGGCTGGAGCGGGGAGGTGGCGCCGGAAATACCGGACCGTGCAGGCGTACTGGCCCCCTTGAGCACTGAGCCTGCCCAACCTTACCCGGCTTGATGCTCCCCGTCGCCCGACCAGTACGGGGAGGTGGAATAACCCGCACCGGCCTATGTGGGCGAACCGGGAACACCATGCGTAAGGCTGGTGCCATGTACGCCGGCCCGAGAAGACGCACTGGTGGCCTGATGCGTTGGGCCGGCTTCATGACATCCGGCTCAACGCTCAATCTAGCCCGGCCGATACGTGGAGCTGGAATGTGTCGAACCGGGCTATGCCTGCGTACAGGAGACACCATGCGCTCTACTGCGTAACACGGTGTCTGCCCGTACTCTCGCTCTCCACGGTAAGTCCAGGGAGTAGGCGCAGGTCTCCTACCTGACTTCGCCACACTCCCTTTAAGCCCCCCCCCCAAGAAATTTTTGGGTAGTACCCACGGGCTTCCAGCCTTGACTCCGTGCTGCCTCCTCATACCGCCTCCTCTCGGCTTTAGCTGCCTCCAGCTCTTCACGAGGGCGGCGATATTCTCCCGGTTGTGCCCAAGGACCCTTTCCATCCAGTATCTCCTCCCAAGTCCATGAATCCTTGATAGGCGTCCATAAATCCTGTTGCCGCTTGACACGCTGCTTGGTCCTTTTATGGTGGGTTTTTCTGTCACGCGGGTCGATGTCGTCCAAGTATGACCAAGGCGCAGCGTGTCCAAGAAACATGACTTTATTTATTCAAAAGTCTGGAACAAAACAACAAAACACGACCGATACGTGAAGTCCTCTGCAACACTGACAGAACTAAGAACAAAAAAAACCCACAACTCCCACAAGAAAACATACAGAATAAATATGGCTCCCAATCAGAGATAACGAGCCGACAGCTGACACTCGTTACCTCCGATTGGGAGTCAATGACCAAACCTAGAAATACAACCAACAGAAAGGCAAACCTAGAAATACAAAACCAAAACCCAACAAATCAAAATACACCCTGGCTCAAATACAAAAGTCCCAGAGCCAGAGTGTCACAGTATCACTGTATCTACCTCAAGTACCATGTATCCCTGCACATTGATATGGTATTGGTACTCCTTGTATATAGCCTACATTCTTATGTGTTTTTATTGTCTTTATTTAACTATACATCGTTGAGGAAGAGCTTGTAAGTAAGCATTTCACTGTAGGTCTACACCTGTTGTATTCAGTGCATGTGACAATAAAATGTGATTTGATTTGAAGTCCCCTCTGTCTATCCAATCTCATCTCTGCTCCACACCAGGATACAGTTCAGTATGTTCTGAGTTTCTGCCATGTCCTAAAACGTCTGTGGTAAACTTGTACTACATACGGTAGGATTTATCGCAGACTATAATTACTGTCTCAATGGAATCCTAATCCCCCTCATCTGTACTGAGGTATGGTGTATTCAAATTAAATCAAACTTTATTCATACAGCACATTTCAGACATCAAATATGTATTTTACTACAGAACATAAGAGGATAAAAAACAAAATAATAACAACAACAACTGAATGACTAAAAAGCACCCTAAGGAAAAACAAAGCTAAAAAGGTGTGTTTTAAGATCTCTTTTAATTTTCCACAGTTTCGACCCCCCTCAGGTGTACATTCTAGGACACCCTCAGCCTCAATCCTCACCCCTCCTTAAGTCAATTGTCTACCCCCCTTGAAGTGTGAGGCTGAGGCATGACGATTGACTTAAGGAGAGTTGTTGATTGACTCAGTGAGGGGTGATGTTTGAAGCTGAGGGTGACCTAAAATGTAGATCACTCTGGGCACAAATCTCCAACCACAGTGAAACATGAAACGCCTTTTCAGAGCCTCGGAATGTCCCGAAGTGCTAGGAAGACTAATTTCTCGAAATGAGCCTGATGGTGTTTGCACAGCTGCAGGCCACTCATGACCTGTTGAACTGGCGTGCCTGGACTCACTGTCATGATCTTTGATTGGCTTTAGTCAGTTGTTTTTAAAGTGTTAATTTCATCCCAGCCTTGTTGGTTTTTATGGTAATATTGCATGTGTCATCCAACGATATGGGTTGTATCAACTTATTCCTGAAGTGCTCAAACATGACATAAAAGAAGCTAACTGATATGTTTTTAGATTTTGATCGGAAAGTTTGAAAGGGGAAGTGTCTTATATTTTAAAGGAAAACATTTCAGCTTACATGTATTTTGAAAGGGCAACTGTCTGAGTTTGCATGGTGACAGGTTATATGTGCTTTAGTTTCAGATGTAGTTCACAGGCCATATGTATAGCAGAGATAGGATGAGGATCAGGTTCTGAGGGTCTACAACAGAGCATTGCTATCAGAGAGCATCCTGAAGTCCATTCATGTTGCATACTGGCTAAGGAAATGGTAAACTACAAAAGAATATCACATATATCATTTCTTTGTCTCTTTTAAGTTCTACTTGTTTTTTATTTTGTCATCAATCAGCCAAGACAAAATACAATATGGTATTCCAATCTTCAGTATATGATTAACGTTTCAGAATTGAACAGAAATTACTCACTGACCAGCATTTTATCACTTTTTCACAGAAGTCACCTGAGGAGAGACCCCAGACGAACCACGCCAGTAACTCGGTTGTAACAGTCCGCTACTCTGAGTAAGTATTTATCACAAATGGCAGAATTAATTTGGGGTTTTGTGCAAATACTTTTTAAATGGACCCTACAATATTTACGATGTCTCACTTTCCCAAACTCTTCAGATGTTCACAATATTTCTCTCCAAATTATTTTATGGTCATGGTTTTCTTTCTGGTTCCACTATTGTTTCTTCAACAGAATGAGAGGCCATTCCAGTGGTGTTGCTATTTAGCTGCCCAACCACAATAGTAGCCTTTGCTACCAAGTCACCAAATGGTAGACCTATGCTACATGAATCCTACTGGACTCTAAGATGTTTGTGTTACACTATGAGCTGAGAACTTGGAGTACTATTACTAGCTGACTAACTTTAAGCATCAGTTGTCAGAGCACCTTACCGATCACTGCACCTGTACACAGCCTATCTGTAATTAGCCCACCCAACTACCTCATCCCTATATTGTTATTTATTTTGCTCTTTTGCACCCCAGTATCTCTATTTGCACATAATCTCTTGCACTTCTATCATTCCAGTGTTAATACTAATTATAATTATTTTGCACTATAGCCTATTTATTGCCTTACCTCCATAACTTGCTACATTTGCACACACTGTATATATATTTTCTGTTGTATTTTTTTTTTACTTTATGTTTTTTTACCCCATATGTAACTCTGTGTTGTTGTTTTTATCGCACTACAATGCTTTATCTTGGCCAGGTCGCAGTTGTAAATGAGAACTTGTTCTCAACTGGCTTACCTGGTTAAATAAAGGTGAAATAAAATAAATACAGTAATAGGCATAATAATACCATTGTAATAATGGTTAATGTAAAGGAGATGGTGATTTTAGTTACAGTAAATGTAGTTACTGTAAATTTCATCAACATGTTCTAGGTCTCTGACTGTTGTCAAATCAAATCAAATGTTATGTCACGTGCGCCGAATACAACAGGTGTAGACCTTACAGTGAAATGCTTACTCACAAGACCTAACCAACAATGCAGTTTTAAGAGAAATAAGTGTTAAGTAAACAATCGATGAGTAAAAAATAAAAGCAGGAAAATAACAGGAAAAATAACAGTAGCGAGGCTATATACAGTACATATATATGTCATAGATATTGTCAGACTCTCTAAGATGACAATTAACTTTAATTACATATCAGATTTATATTATGTTAGATTTAGTTTTGATATTTGAATGTCATATAGTGTATTTCACTGTCACCTCTGTCTCTCTCTCAGTAGACCAGGGAGGGAGGTTCAGGTGTACTACTCACGCCATCAAAGCTACAGGGACTTCTTTGATGAGTTAAATCGACGAGGCGACACTTTCTACGTGGTGTCCTTTCGCAGGGTGAGTCACTCCATGCATATTCCATACCATTTTCCATAGAAGCAGGCAACAATGTGTCCTTCGGATTGTGACTGTTTCAAGGCCAATGGAGATCGGGTCTGTGACTGTTTCATGATGCAGTATTGCCATCAGCATGTCTTCAGCAGATGAAACTGCTGAGTAGGAAAGAAAGCGGTCATGAAACAATTTTGAAGCGCATATGGAGCATGATCCAGGGTACCAACTTTCTGTCTTAATTGAAGGCGGAAAGCCCCGACTGAAAAAGCAGATGTTCTTTTGAAGCTTAGGAAAATATTTCCTTTTATTTCCTTTTCTTTTTACTCCCAAATGCATGAATGAATGAGGATTGAAAAATGTCTGTGGCTGATTTTAAATATGTACATTGGCATTTCAATCGTCACAAATGAGCATATGTAATGCATTTGTATGTGATTTGTAGCTTTAACAGTATACAGTTAATGACTGACCTATTGGCGAGTTTCATTCGTGTGTTTGATGTATTGAATTGTGAGGGAGCACATTCGGAAGGAATTTTATGTCTTTCAGTCACCTAGGGCGTGTAGACCTTATGAAATTGGCATCCATATGAAATGATCTAGAACAATAAAAAAGTTACTTGAGGCTGTTCTTATACTCCTTTTATTCTGTGTGGTGTTTTGGTAAAATTACCGTTTATGGTTACCGACGGAGTCCGTTTCTCGTAAGCTATAAGATTGGAATTTCACTTTTTTATTTGATGTAGCCTAACCACAGATAATCTTTAGATTTATTGATTAAGCACATATTCCTTCCGTCCCATACATTTTGACATCTTTTGTCTGGTCAATTCAAATGATGTATCCATTGTACTGACACATCTCCAATACATTTACATTAAAGCAGAAATCAAAATAACCTGTTTATCGGCAACCACTGCCAGGAAAGTGTCTTCGATTACCAAATTGAACATACCTCCGTTTTCATAAAAGTACCACAAACTATGAACTCTGAGACCCCCTAGATCTGTTAGTCCTTCTCCTCTGATATGTTTCCAGACTTTCCATAAGACATATCATAGAGCGAAACCTGTAAAGTCTTCAGAGGCTTCGTAAAAGCATTCTCATGATGCTAATCGGCTGAATCCCTTCTTAGTGCTGTCTCTGTTACACTGAGAAGGCTTTCATTGTCATTCCCAACCAGAAGGACTGACTGTCTTATTCCAATGCAACCCTAACACTGCCCCCCCCCCCCCCCCCCCCCCCATTAAATTAGCCATCTATTCAGAAAGTCTTAGGTCTGATTTGCAACATTATTCCAACCTGATGACTGCTCAGGAGAATTAGCAGGGACCATTCTCTCTGATGGCCTGCCAACGTCTGTTTTGTGAGAACCTGAGAGCGAGAGAAACAGGCAGAGAGAGAAGGAAAGTGAACTCTGATCACAATCTCTCCATTTGGACCATCAACTCCCAGGGGCACCTCTTTAGCTCTTTTGTGTGCCCGTCAGTTCTGCTCTCTGAGGGCCCTTTATCCAAGGACCAGATATCTGTTTCCTGAAGGCCCTGTTTACTGAGCCACAATGGGGATTCAACCCACCCACCACCTGCCTTCAGACCTGCCTACATCATTCAGACCGGATAAGAAACTCTTATTCAATTTTTTTTGTATCATGGCCTCAATGGAAAACCTTTGCTGGCAAACCAAGAATGCTCCTTTCCAGTAGTTACTGTACATAAGCTGTACATTGAGAGCTGTTGTCAATGTGTCAAACCCTCCACACTTTGACGATCTTAAAATAACTTTTCAAAAAATGTAATTCATCATCTCCAGCACCACCCCAACATCAACATATGTGAAAATGGCGCGTTTCTATGTTTTGTAGTAAAACAGATAGAGAAAGAAGTGTTTCCAATTTTTTACATTTTAGTCATTTAGCAGACGCTCTTATCCAGAGCGACTTACAGTTAGTGAGTGCATACATTTTCATACTGGCCCCCCCGTGGGAATCGAACCCACAACCCTGGCGTTGCAAGCGCCATGCTCTACCAACTGAGCTACACGGGGTCCAATTACATCATCAACCAATTAATAGGCAAGGCCTATGATGCACACCGATGATGTAGTTGGAAACACGTATCTTTTTTTCCCACAAAACATAGAAACACGCCATTTTCACATATGTTGATGTTGGGGTGGTGCTGGATTTTTTTGAAAATGTCCTTTAAGTTCGTCAAAGTGTGGAGGGTTTGACACATTGACAACAGCTCTCAATGTACAGCTTATGTACAGTAACTACTGGAAAGGAGCATACTTGGTGAACATTTTCCTTTTAAGCGAGTGTCACGCATTTACAGTAACTGAATGAATTACACTGGGTTAACTGGAAACAAGAGTTGTGACGTTATTGGACGTGGCTGCCGGCTTCTGTACGATCTGTACTTCTAGCCCTCAAATGGGTCATTCAGCCAGCCATTGGATTGGAGTCCTTCTACCAGTAGACAAGAATGTACAGTAGAGGAGGTAGTGACTGATTGCACAGCTGCAGCCGGCTCTCCTAAGCCTAAGCCCTCTCTCTGGCCTGATGGAATGAACAGAGCAGCTTCTGGTTTCATTGGCCTTTCCCAAAGCACACGCCACAATGCAAGTGATGGAAAGAGCAGAACACTAACTTGATGTACATGGTTAGACCTGGGCTGCTGTGGAAAGGAAAAGCAGAACCCAAAGGTTTTGTAGGTGAATATATTCATACCTTCACTCCCTGAATCACTTTTGTTGAGGATAATTGGCTCACTGGGGTAAGTGAAAATATGTTTTTGGACAAAATTGTAGAATTTCTTTCCACTTTTTGGGGGGGCAAAACTCATGGAAACGTGTGGTCTCTTAGAGTTCAGGCCTACCTGCTTTTACAACCTCTGCCAAAGAGCCGAATAGGGGGTTGGCCTACTGTATTCCCATGTAGACAGCTAGCATGTGTCACTTTGAAGACTGCTAGCACCAACGCAACCATACTCAATCCTCTTTCAAGACAAAGTCAAGAATCATTTTCCTGAAGGTGGCTGTTGATAGGCTGTATTTGTATTTATTACTCTTCCTGTGGTCCAGCAACATTAAGGCAGTTATATACAATAAAAAATATTACATGACATTACATTTCATAACACTTTTCACAACACATTAAGTGTGTGCCCTCAAGCCACTACTACCACATATCTACAATACCAAATCCATGTGTACGTGTGTGTAGAGTGCGTGTGTTATCATGTGTATGCGTGTGTCACTGCCTGTGTGTGCTGTGACTACCCAATGGGGAACAGTGCCTGGTGTGTGTTTTACACTAAGCGCCTTAGTTCTGTCAGCTTCTTCGAACTGGTGTTGTTTTGAAGGGCTGGATCAGAACCAGAGTCTCAGTCTATTTCAAGTGCAGTTGACCCTGGCTTCCATGTCTCCACCTACTTACACTGTTGTTTAGACACTGTATTGTGCTGATCCGAACTAGGGCTGTTGCGGTGACCGTATTACCGCCACACCAGCGGTCACCAGTCATGAAGGCAGTCAAATTCCACGTGACCGTTTAGTCACGGTAATTAGGCTTCTTCAAGTTCTGATGCTGCTGCTGGTCATTAATAGCCTACCAAACTTGCTAACTGCCTGGTACTCAGCACTCTAATGGAACATTCGCGCTTATAGCCTACTACCATGTCCGCATTGCTGCGCTTATAATGTGAAGAAATAGCCTAAAAGTTTATCAACATTTTAAGCCAAACGTTCTGATCTGTTGCGTCAGCCACATTGCGTAAAAAATGTTTTTTGATGCAAGTGGTTGTATTAATTTGGAATCTATAGCATCCCACAACTGTCCCGGACTATGTTTGGAATATTTATTTCCCCCACAGAATAGAATAGGTTGACTTTTGTACTATGGGGGATAGTAAATTAACATAGGCTAGTGCTTTTGCTGTTCGTTAGGCCTACTCATCTTGTTGGCTGACAAAAAGTAAATATGGACAGTTCTTCCAATATCTTCAATATGCACCTCGGAATTGGATAAGGTCGTGCGCAGTTGCGTCCCCGATGTGTCTATCTTCACTTGTAGCCTGTGAGAAAGACCTGATCACGTGATGGAGAGCCATGTGAGTGAGAGGTGATTCGGAGCGCTCAGCACTCAGGAAGAAGGGCACAACGGACACTGGCTGCAATAGGCATGGATTTGTTTAGGGGGCATTACGGCCACACAAAGGGGATACCGCCGTGAAATTCTAGGCATTATCAAGTGCTTGTTAAATTGTGAATGAGTGTGTACAGCTTGCGCAAAAAACAAAGGAGAGCTCATGCCTTTCAAGCGACTTTTTTTCAAAATCATCATTAGAGTCGCGTCATGCAGCCTTACAATGTATTAAAAATCTAAACATATAGCTCAACGTTTGTAGAACAACTAAAGTTACATTAATAACTCTAAATTAAGCATATAGGAATACCTATTTCTTTGTTAACCGCTCAACACAGTATAGCCGCATGTGCGCACTCCCTCAAATCGATTGGAGAAAATATCCTTTCTATTTTATTCAGCTTTGTTCAATTGTATTCTTCATACTATAAAATAATGCCATGGAATTCTAAGCAAATCTTGTCTGCTAAATAAACTACTGTAGCCCACAGCCATTTGGCATAGCCAGATCAGGACCTAACATAAGGACAACTCAGAGTATGTTATTCTGTTCTTCTGAAAATAGACTACATTTTCTTCATATCATGCTTTTTTAGACCTGTCTAAAATAAATCATGTATTTATTGTGAAGGCTATATTAAATGGATTTATTCGACTTTTTTGAAATGTAGATGTTCCAAAGGTCTGCATCAGTGGCTTGTAGGCTGTGTGGAAGCCAGGAGATGCTAAATGTATTTATGTTAATTACGGTCAATTAGCGTGAGTCCAACAGTTAGTTATTTGCTTGACAATCACCGGCTGACGAAATTTCGTGACCTCCACAGCCCTAATCCGAAGCATTCCATACTGGCTCAGATATTTCACTCAGAAGCAGACCAATCATGTAGCTAGCTACTTTTAGCAGATGCTAACATTTATGTTAGCCATCTATGTCCATCTGCGGTACAGTCATATGTACCCCCCACAGTGGCAGCTGGCTTCAAAACAAAATATTGTGTCTGTGCCGTCAATCTAGTCTACTGTAAATGTCTGACTTTTTTAGTCTTTTGAGTCTTTTGGTATGTTAACTAGTCCTTGGGAGCCCTAAATTCAATGATGCGTTGAGCAATCCTAATTGACCCCATAGCTCCTCAAAGCCTATAGGCCTACTTTACTGTATATCTGTTCTACATCAGTTCCTAGTTTTTCCATGACTTCTTCTCTTCATCCAGGAACAGCTCTGTTTTCACTCTTTAAAAACTTTTCAAATACTTTAGCTGGGCTTGATTGAGTTTGCCTGCCGCAATGGAACCAATAGAATAGTCGCAAAACCCACCCACCTAACATCCCAGGAAGGCTAAATCAAACATGGAAAGTACTTGAAAGATTTCAAATAGTTTTTGAACCCAGATCGGGTTTTTGCTGCTGCTCTGTCCCAACTGAGAGCGGAGCGGTCTGGTCTGGTGAAGCTGGTGACAGCGGTCTCTCAACCATGCATGGGTCTCCTCTCCCAAACCACCGATGTTTAACAGGACTTTGAATTACTGTGTTTATGCCTCTAATAAAGTCTAGGGCTCCATGGAGGGGACCTAGATGACTAGCTTATCAGACAGCATGTAGCTGCATTTGAACTCTACCAAGTAGCCTTGGTTTGAGTCAAGAAATTACTGTCTCTGATATGGTCAGTGTTTTAATGGCCATGTGCTTGATTTGTGATTATTTCTTTGAACAATGGATGGCTTGTCTATCCAATGTGCCAATCATTGATTATTTTCATAGAGCCCCAGCTGTCTGCTTTAAAATACATTTACAACCACATCGTTCTCCTGTTCTTTTTATGTATATGTCACAACCTGCTTTCCAGGTGTCAACGCTGTTGTTAACTACTGTTTTGGCCTGTCTCTTCACATAATGACTGTCTTTACACCCCAAACAGTGAAAATGTTGTACAGTCAAAGTTATGGTCAGAGGTCAATGTATGTTGAGATTTATTAGCATTTATGACGTTTCTTTGTGAATTCCGGACCTCTTGTGCCTTGTTGGGTTCATGCTGCGTGTACTTTAGAGTTATGGCCGCAGTGGCCACTTAAGGGTCTGGATGTTTCTGGTCTGTCATTACGTGTATTTCTTCAGAATCCAGGGAATCTTGTTGTCAGCCTAGAGGTGGACAGAAAGTGGCTTGAGGCATTGTTTCGGTTGTAGGCACTGCCCTTGACCAAGGCACCCATGACTGTAAATGATGTACATTTATTGATGCCAGGTCTCCCTTGGGAAAGAGTTCTTCTGAGCTCAATGGGACTACATAGTTAAATAAAGGTTAAATCAAATTCAGTCCACATGCATAGTCCTACTGGGATTTGTGAGAGAACATCTGCCCTGAACAGCACAAAATCTCTGTCAAATGTATCTCCTTATTGCCTAAAGACCAGGTCAGCTCTTGAGTAATGACTCACTGCATTAACGCTCTAATCCCCCATTCTCTGTCTGTTTCTCTAGGATCACCTTCTGCTCCCTGCAACCAACCACAGCAAGGGGAGCAGGCCAAAGATGTCCTTGGTGTTACCAGCAATTAATGTGAATGGTAAGGGCCAGGAGACGATGTGCGACTGAGCAACAGCATGCCAAATATAAACGTTTGACTCTAAACTCGAAGGAAGTTTATTGATGTAGTTTTGGAGCAGAGCTTTCACGTAATCAGAAGCCACAGACAATTTACACCTCCACCTACCCACAGTGTATAAACAGAAAACCTACACTCACCATAACTATAGTCATCAGTTTAGTTTAGTGAAAGCTTGAACCAGCTTCAACAACTGATTGTTAGTGGGATGGATGAATACTCACTTTTTCTTCTAGTCTTGAAAGCTTTCCTCTGTATTTACTTCCTATTGATTTAGTAACAGAAATAGCTTTCATGGGTAAGCTAAACTCTTTGTATTTCTGGCATGTGCAATGAATTAGGCTATTTTGCTGAGGGGAATTGTATTGGTCTGTTGGTGTCCCTTCTACCCTGAAGAAAAGGAAAGGAAGTGGGATACAGATGATAGCGGAACGCTGTTGTAGTTTCAATGCCCCTTTAAGGAAAGAATATATACTTCCTGGAGTTCAGAGACATTTGCTTTTCTAATCTTTGGTGATTTACTGTCTCTCCAGTGACCCGGTAGGGTTACGTTTCAGAGAAGTGCTTGTCTGGTGGGGACGGATAAACTGTTTGAAAATATGAGTCAGATTTTACTAGGTCATGGCATGGGGCTCCCAATAGAACTTACTCACCCTCCTTTGTTTGGGCTCTGTCCCCTCAGGCTTCAGAATGTGTTTTTTGTGTGCAGTAATGATTCATTATTGATTAATTTTATAGATCTGTATTTTAAGCTACTAAGTATTGCCCTAATATGTACTATGATTAGCATTCAAACAGTTTGTTGTTAAGATGGATAAAGTGTGAAAATTCCAAATTAGAAAGCAACCACTGCACTTGATTGTCATAGCGTCTGAGGTTTCCGATGTACAGTTTCTCATAGACATACTATGCTCAGCACTAAGTGTTGTGAGACCACCGTGCTCTGGAGTTATTATCATGGTTCATTCATTCCACCCCCATACTGTCTCCGGCCAAAGGAAAACCTTCCTCCCTGGACACCTCTGGGGAACGGCTGCCCCCAATCCAGAAGCCCCACCGTCATGGCCATCAGCCAGGCCCTTGTGAACATACGTTAGTGGGTCTCAGAGGCCCCCCAGTACAGAGCACTGCAGAGGCCCCTCTTACCCTCCTCACACTCTTAATGGTCTGAACATTTCCAATACCTGTTTTCTGAGTCGTATGGATCAACCTTGTTATGCAAACGTGAAGTGCATCATCCTACAAAACATAACTGTATGCTGACTGCTTGTTGACGGCAGTTCATATTTTTCTGAATCTGAAGTTCAGTTGGCATGTTACTGTGTTTTTGGAGGGAATAAATTATTCATGCTCTTTGTTTGAGGTCTTGGCCATTAGAGTTTGCCACACTGTTTTGTATCAATCTGCCATTACGTAATTTGATAGATGGGTGAAAATGACCAGATTATAGTTTTAGAATGATAAAGATATAAACCGAAGCATTCTCTCTTCAAATTATGACAATACGGCATTGTATAATAATAAATAATTTGGTAGGTGCTTATATTTTTCCTATTTCACACATGTACAAGTGTGTATTAATAGGCATGTGTGTATTGGAAATGTTTTTTTGCATATCCCAACTCTCCCTGAGACACCCTCAGAGAGGTCACGCCAGGGTCAGGCATTATCAAAGGCCACCCTGGAGCAATTACCTTTCTCAATGGCACATCAACAGATTTTTTACCTTGTCGGCTCTGGGATTCAAACAAGCAACCTTTCGGTTACTGGCCCAACGCTCTAACCGCTAGGCTGCCTGCCACCCTGTTGTGTTCCATCAGCACCCTTCTTGGGTATGACGCTACAAGCTTGGCACACCTGTATTTGGGGAGTTTCTCTCATTCTTCTCTGCAGATCCTCTCAAGCTCTGTCAGGTTGGATGGGGAGCATCGCTGCACAGCTATTGTCAGGTCTCTCCAGAGTTGTTAGATCGGGTTCAAGTCCGGGCTCTGGTTGGGCCACTCAAGGACATTGAGACTTGTACCGAAGCCACTCCTGCGTTGTCTTGGCTGTGTGCTTAGGGTAGTTTTCCTGTTGGAAGGTGAACCTTTGCGCCAGTCTGAGGTCCTGAGTGCTCTGGAGCAGGTTTTCATCAAGGATCTCTCTTTCCCTCGACCCTGACTAGTCTCCCAGTCCCTGACGCTGAAAAACATCCCCACAGCATGATGCTGCCACCACCATGCTTCACCGTAGGGATGTTGCCAGGTTTCCTCCAGACGTGACGCTTGGCATTCAGGCCAAAGAGGTCAATCTTGGTTTCATCAGACCAGAGAATCTTGTTTCTCATGGTTTGAGAGTCCTTTAGGTGCCTTTTGGCTAACTCCAAGCGGGCTGTCATGTGCCTTCTACTGAGGAGTGGCTTCTGTCTGGCCACTCTACCATAAAGGCCTGATTGGTGGAGTGCTGCAGAGATGGTTGTCCGTCTGGAAGGTTCTCCCATCTCCACAGAGGAACTCTGGTGCTCTGTAAGAGTGACCATCGGGTTCTTGGTCACCTCCATGACTAACGCCCTTCTCCCCCGATTGCTAAATTTTCTCTAGGAAGAGTCTTGGCAGTTACAAACTTTTTCCATTTTAGAATGATGGAGGCCACTGTGTTCTTGGACCTTGAATGCTGCAGACATTTTTTTGGTACGCTTCCCCAGATCTGTGCCTCGGCACGATCCTGTCTCGGAGCTCTATGGACAATTCCTTCGACCTCATGGCTTGGTTTTTGCTCTGACATGCACTGTCAACTGTGGGACCTTTATATAGACAAGTGTGTGCCTTTCCAAATCATGTCCAATCAATTGATTTTATCATAGGTGGACTCCAATAAAATTGTAGAAACATCTCAAGGATGATCAATGGAGACAGGATGCACCTGAGCTCAATTTCGAGTCGCATAGCAAAGGGTCTGAATACTTATGTAAATAAGGTATTTCTGTTTTTTATTTTTAATACATTTACAAAAATATCAAAAAACCTGTTTTTGCTTTGTCATTATGGGGTATTGTGTGTAGATTTAGGAAACATTTTAATGTAATCAATTTTAGAATATAGCTGTAACGTAAAAAACATGTGGGTCTGAATACTTTCCGAATGCACCGTAATTGCCACAGAGTGTGGTTGTTTAGAAAGACCCCTTTTGCCATAAATAGCTTCCATCTGTAGAAATGTCTTTGATAATCCTTACTACTCTAATAAAACAGTGGATTTGTCTTGCGAATCACTCTTTGGGGCTGCAACATACTGTGCAAAAATGCCAATTGGCCTTTTGGGTAACCTTATCATAACCAATTGGCCTCAGTTGAAGGGACTGCATGGTATGTGGAGGATAATGAAGGGCAAATAAGTATTTTCCTTCTCATGATTTGAAATACGCCATTTCACTTTGCCGTGTTGACAGGACGAGTAACCCCAAAGGGATGGAGAGCTGACAGAAATGTTTTTTTGGTGAGGGAGGTGAGGGAGAGAGGGGCTGTGGGCTGACTCCGCTCTATGCTGTTGAGTTAGTAGACCTGCCTGGTCTGTATCAGAAAAGGTGATATTTTTTGCATTCGGTTCCACTGTTCCGACCTGCAAAATATAGTTCTGAACCGGTTCGAACCCAAATAAAGTACCGGTTTATATCGTTCCTTTCTGTTCCTTTTTAAGCTCGACAGTAGATTACTTCACCAATCAGTGTGGATAGAGCAGCTTGGTGCGGGCACGCTATAGTTATTTACATGCATGGTGGACAGACAATTGTAAGGCGTGAGATGCGACTGACATTTTGCAGGTGGGGAGAGTGCGAGAGAGGGTGGAGGAGGCTTAGCTTGAAGTGTTGGACATCTTGTTATGTCATGCATGATTTGAATTAGGCCCACATAATTACAGTGTGGGAAAAAAGTATTTGATCCCCTGCTGATTTTGTACGTTTGCCCACTGACAAAGACATTTTAATGGTAGGTTTATTTGAACAGTGAGAACAAAGAAATCCAGAAAAACACATGTCAAAAATGTTATTAATTGATTTGCATTTTAATGAGGGAAATAAGTATTTGACCCCCTCTCAATCAGAAAGATATTTGGCTCCCAGGTGTCTTTTATACAGGTAACGAGCTGAGATTAGGAGCACACTCTTAAAGGGAGTGCTCCTAATCTCAGTTTGTTACCTGTATAAAAGACACCTGTCCACAGAAGCAATCAATCAATCAGATTCCAAACTCTCCACCATGGCCAAGACCAAAGAGCTCTCCAAGGATGTCAGGGACAAGATTGTAGACCTACACAAGGCTGGAATGGGCTACAAGACCATCGCCAAGCAGCTTGGTGAGAAGGTGACAATAGTTGGTGCGATTATTCGCAAATGGAAGAAACACAAAATAACTGTCAATCTCCCTCGGCCTGGGGCTCCATGCAAGATCTCACCTCTTGGAGTTGCAATGATCATGAGAATGGTGAGGAATCAGCCCAGAACTACACGGGAGGATCTTGTCAATGATCTCAAGGCAGCTGGGACCATAGTCATCAAGAAAACAATTGGTAACACACTACGCCGTGAAGGACTGAAATCCTGCAGCACCCGCAAGGTCCCCCTGCTCAAGAAAGCACATATACAGGGCCGTCTGAAGTTTGCCAATGAACATCTGAATGATTCAGAGGAGAACTGGGTGAAAGTGTTGTGGTCAGATGAGACCAAAATCGAGCTCTTTGGCATCAACTCCTCGTTTGGAGGAGGAGGAATGCTGCCTATGACCCCAAGAACACCATCCCCACCGTCAAACAGGGAGGTGGAAACATTATGCTTTGGGGGTGTTTTTCTGCTAAGGGGACAGGACAACTTCACCGCATCAAAGGGACGATGGACGGGGCCATGTACTGTCAAATCTTGGGTGAGAACCTCCTTCCCTCAGCCAGGGCATTGAAAAGGGGTCGTGGATGGGTATTCCAGCATGACAATGACCCAAAACAAATGACCAAGGCAACAAAGGAGTGGCTCAAGAAGAGGCACATTAAGGTCCTGGAGTGGCCTAGCCAGTCTCCAGACCTTAATCCCATAGAAAATCTGTGGAGGGAGCTGAAGGTTCGAGTTGCCAAACGTCAGCCTCGAAACCTTAATGACTTGGAGAAGATCTGCAAAGAGGAGTGGGACAAAATCCCTCCTGAGATGTGTGTAAACCTGGTGGCCAACTACAAGAAACGTCTGACCTCTGTGATTGCCAACAAGGGTTTTGCCACCAAGTACTGAGTCATGTTTTGCAGAGGGGTCAAATACTTATTTCCCTCATTAAAATGGAAATCAATTTATAACATTTTTGACATGCGTTTTTCTGGATTTTTTTGTTGTTATTCTGTCTCTCACTGTTCAAATAAACCTACCATTAAAATTATAGACTGATCATGTCTTTGTCAGTGGGCAAACGTACAAAATCAGCAGGGGATCAAATACTTTTTTCCCTCACTGTATACCTATGGAGGAACGGCTTCTATGGAGGAACTTTGAATGTCTTTGAACTTCTGAGAGTTTGATTAACGTTGGACCAGAGCTAGATAGCAAGCTAGCTAGCTAACAAGCTTGTGTGTGCAGAGCGGCACCAGAAATAAAAACACGTCAGAACGTTTTGTAAGGAAATAAATCCAATGTGAAACGTGCTAACTAAAGTATCCTTAACTAGCATTGAAAAGATTTATCCAATTAAACATCTCTCCCTAATTTCTGAATCATGCTTGTAACGTATTGTAAGCTACAGTAGCCTACGCTTCCGAGGGGCAGGTAGCCTACACGCACACACTGGCAAAGATTTTCAGCTGGCAGGCAGACACTGGAATACGTTTCTGAGTGACAGTGAGAGCATTGCATAGGCACTTTGTTTGTTGCATTTTTTTGTGGGACTGAAATAAATGCCCGGAACATAAAATAACATTATTAAATGATTCCCATGCTTTTAACATAACATTTCTGTTCCGGAACAGTGTAAATCACTTTCGTTCCCAGTTCTGATTCTGTTCCTCGAAAGATGTTGTTATTTTCAGGTTTTTGGTTCTGTTCCCTAACCCGGTTCCAACCCCAGGTTTGTATCAATTCACAGGTGTGCCATAAGGAATAATAATCTTTCTCCCAAACAACTGAACACCTTAAAACTGTCATCTCGAGACAATGCAGGTGTTCAAAAACTCTGATTCACTGCACAAAAATACTGTCGGATTCAGCACTCATGAAAAAGAACAGTGACAAAAGAATGTGTTAAATTCAATGTAATTTAATGTACAAGGCATATTTATCTCACTTTATTGGGTAATATTTTTATATAGTGGATTAGCATGAATGCAGGTATGCATCGTCTTTTATAACTTGTATACAGCTCCGTTTTACATAAAGTCTTCACAGTTGACGGTCATGGTTTTCTCTGCCGAGTGCGCAACTCTTTTCTCTCTCAATCAATGTTCATATCAGAAAGTCCAATCACAAACGTAATACAATTGTCATAAAGTTTGAAGGACCATCCAAATCAGCTTTATTCTTATCATCAAACTTACAGTAGAAAACACCCACATAATTTCCCTCGAACTACAGTACCACGTGTCCGCAAAATTCACCGCTTACGTAACCTTTTCGATGTAATTTCCGTATGCATTAATCACCTTTAGATCCAAAACCTGATCCCTCCATGTGCCAGTAAATCCCTCCTGCTAGCTAAGCCACGTGGACCTGGCCGGTCTTGTGGCTTATGGCTTCAGCAGGTGTTCTTCTAGGAGCTGGGGTTCACCCTCCAGCAGTAGTAATGCAGGCTCCTCAGTCACCTGACGCCAGACAGGGTCTCCGGGAGAAGGCGGTGAACCAGATAATGACTATTGCATTTGGGATCTAGAGTACAAAGACGACAGACTTAGGGATGGGATCGTTTTGGAGAGACAGTATAAGGGGATCTCCTCAGGAGATCCTCTCAAATGGCCTTTACAGTGAAACTCAAAATCCAAACATTGGATGTCTACTAAGAAGTGCTGATGGTGCTGTAGCTGAGGCTTGTATTACATGAAACTTCAGATGTGGCAACTGACTGTTGAGGTATCTAGACTCCGGATGACTGAATATAAACTAATGAATGGTTTTGATGTTCATTATAATCATATTTTTGACTTATTGTATTTCATTACAGACTCTGTTATCAAGGACAACACATTTGAGGTGATGATGCAGATTGACTGTGAGGTCATGGACACCAAGATCCTCCACATCAAAACCTCCACCATCCCAGAGTTCCTACGTGCCAACACCACTGACTTCCAATCCACCCATGCCAACGGAAAGGCAGCAGCTTCGGTTGGTGTTCTATCAGACTCTGCCTGAACTTGGCCTTACCTAAAAGGCCTGGCAATCTGAAAAACTATCCTTTTAACAACCTTTTGGTGTATTAATAAACTGTGACAAAAAATCTAGCCTTGTCTTCCTCTCTGGAAATGTTCCTTGTGCCTCTGATGTTCCAACTCAATTAAGACCTATTAAGAAGTTGTCCAGTAACTGTTTACTTCCATACTGCTTGGTTTAGAGCGTCTGGTTCATGTTAAATGGACAGGCTGCCAACGCAGGCATCTACTGTAGGTAAATTGGTAGAATAAATAGTGGACTTCAAGTTGAACCCTGTGGAACCCCTTAAAAAATCCTTCACTGTCTTGAACCTACAGCTATAGCACTCTTTTAGTTGCGCCAAAATGGAACTAAATTGAAAAAAGCTTAATAAAAACATTAATTGATTCTGGACCCTATTGATGGATTTAAGCCATGTTAACAATATCCTTTGCACATATTTAAAAGTTAATAGACCTATCCTGTGGCGTTATGATTGTTACTTTTTAAGCCATGGTGAGTGAGCAAAAAGAAACATTCAAACAATATATGCAAGACTCATTAGTATGTATCATACAAACATGATGTAAATGTAAATTATAATGTGGCCATTATTTACAGAAATTTGTAAAATGAGGGTGTAATAATGACTTAATTTTGTTTGAGTTGCTTAAGGGTTTGTCATGGTATTTGCAGCACCTTAAAAATGTTTTCAGAAATAAAACCATGGACAATACAAATCCTAATATTGATGACTTGTTTGTGTGTCAGCATTCATGTTTGAATGCATATTTTATTAAAAGTTGTATTTTAAATTACAGTATATACAACATATACTTTAAACTTCTAACAAGCAGTAAGAAAATACCTTGTCTTGCTTCGCTGAATGATGTTGCCTGCTGCATTTTTGGGCAGTTAAAGACTGTGACCATTATATAAAATACAACAACATGCGCTGGGACAACATGGACATTTTTAGCAATAAAAGACAGAGCAACAAAAATGGGATTATACAGTACAAAACATGATGGCCCTGTAGACTGCTCTACAAGCCACTAAGACATACATTTTTATTTTATTTTTACTTTTATACAAAAAAGTGCTGGTCCCTTTTTATTATATCACTACTCCACAGGTTTTAATATGCAAATATAACATCGTAGGTCACCTGGTGACCGTTGTCCCATGTGTACAGCTTTTTGTCCTTGGGGTTGTAGTCGATTTGCGTCGTGTACGTGTAGTTGTTCGTGAACGGTAATCTGGGGATCATCTGGGTGTGTGTGTGTGTGTCAAAGGCGTAGGATATATTGGCGTGGATACGCTCATAGTTGTCCACCGCGTACAGGACGCCACAGATGACAAAGGAGTTTCCGTAGAAGTGTCTCCTCAGGCCTGTTCTGAACGTACTCTGGAGGCTGAGGTCAGCCGGGTTCACACGGTTTAGCATGATTACTTCCTGGTGGAAGCCCTCCTCGTCCAGCGCAGGGTACACCAACCACAGTCCGCTCTCGTCCACCCCAAAGTCGATGTCCGAGTGTCCTCGCCACCTCCATGAGGTGTCCTCCTCCTCGAACACTGCATCGTGCAGCGTTGTCCAGGCCGCAACGTAGCGCAGACGCAGGTCAAACTTGATGATGTCACGGGAGAAGGCCCGGTTGTAGTAGAAGGCTCCATTGTATACGACGTGGCCCGTGCCGATCCAGTTGTACGGCAGCTTGTAGGAATTGGTGAAGCGTCCTGACAGGAAACAAGACAATGCAGAAATAAGAGTATTCTAAATACTGAGCAACGCACATTGCACAAATCAAATTCCACCATTACATTAATCTATTGCCATGTTTGTCTTGTAATCTTGGCACCCAGAACAAAAACAGCTACTCGGTTTTGGGACTAGTCAATTGTGAGAATACCTTGTTTGAAGGTGTCCATGTCGCGGAATTCCAGTAGGTTGTTGCCATAGTAGTAGTTGGTGACATAGATTACATTTCCGTTGCCCTTCGGGTCCTTCATCCAGGCCCCTTCCTTCCGGCCGTAGGTATTATGGGTCACTGGGTCAGAGATGGTGGCCAGAGTGTCTTTGCACATGCCTGTAAGTAAACATACAGAGATAAAGACAACATCTGTACTTTCTTCAAGTATTTAAAGATCGAACAAATAACACTCTTTTCCCCCTGAAAATATCAATATGGTGTATAACACACCATAAGGCTTTATTTCAGCATCAAATTAAAATGTAACTTTGGAAAATCAAATCGACCAAATATATTTTTTTACCAGGGACTTTAGGGATCGCCGAGGGAACCTCTGAGTGGCCCTCTGTCCAGCTGATGTGATGCTTGGGTCTGGGCGCACTAGTCACCTTGCTGGGTGGAGCTGTGGTGCTGTTGACATGTCGCAGTGCAGTGGTTGGAGACGTGGTCAAAACAGACAAGGTTTCAGGTTTTCTAGTGGTCGCTGGTTGAGTGGTGGTTGAGGTGGGCGCAACCGTTGTGGTAGTGGTGGTTGTTGCAGTCGTAGTTGTGGTTTGAATGGTGGTCGGGATGGACACAGTGGTTGATGGTGTCCCGGTAGCTCCAGGGGCAGATGTAGTGGGATTCCTTTGGGGACTAGGGGCTGTTTTGGGGGCATGAGTGGCCTGGTCGTCTGGGTTCCCCTTCCTGTCTTGGGATGCAGGTGTCGGGGGGCCTGCCACAGGTCTGGGCTGGGTGGGTCTCAGGAGCTGGTCATCGATGAGCAGGTCCATGGAACCATCACCGCTCAGGGCTTCCTCTGCTGCTGGTGGTGAATGAGCAGCACAAAGGGTTAAGAAGCATCTACACCAATGTACTCAAGAAGCCTCTCCAATGTCCTATTAAAAACACAGAACAAAACATGTCTATAGGCACAGCCCCAATGTAGAGACCCCCCAAAAGAAGCCTTCAACACTAAAATCAATGGGAAGATTTGCTGTATGTTCTGAACTGGATGGACTACTGCTATGTTAGTTATTCTAGTATGTCCAGTATATTAATGGACTTACTGAGCTCCTCAGCGCCTCCATCGTCCACTGTGTTGGCCTTGTAGAAGGTCACCCCTCTGATGACCATGCCGTTGGGCCCCACCTTGCCTTTCAGGGGCCACTGGGGCTCCTCCCTGTCCTCCGGCTGGCTCCTCTTCAGCATGGGCCTGGTGGCCCCCTGGCCCTTGGCCCCCACGTAGCGCTCCTCATACTTTTTCTATAGGAGGATCCAATCACAAAGGACCAAATCACACATGTTATCGTAAAGCTTTTAGTGAGACAACTGTACTATACAAGTTGAACTTTAACTACACAATAAATTCTTAGCAACCATTTGTTTGTTGGATGGCAGTAAAGGTTTCTGTTTCTGATTCTAAATTGTAATACTAGGCTACAGAACCAAATGTTATGCTTTTGATCGCATTGGTTTTGTGAAAATTAATGCAGTCGAGGTTCAAAGTAAGACAATCATTTTATTGTCAAATACTCTGAGGTCAAATTGTTTTCTGGGCTGTCTGGAAACTGTTGTAGTCAAGAAACCAGACTACTTTGGAACTCGCCACACTGTATTAAAGACGCTGCCAGGCTACTGGCTACCTTAATGCCTTGCCATCGTTTCCACTCTTAAGTCTAGAGTGGCTGACAGCCTTGGTTACCTCTGTGTTAGCATAGTGTGTGTGTGCGTGCGCGTTACCTCTGTGTTAGCATAGGCTGCGGCCGTATCCTTCTGCAGGGATGGCTCCAGCTCAGTTAGACGTTTTCTCTTTTCCATCCTCTGCTGTGCTCTTCTCTCCTTCTCTCTCTCATTCTCCTCGCTAGAGCGACTCCTCACACTCACTTTGTCCTTCTCCGTGTGGTTAGGAGAAAAGGTCTGGACACCCACAGAGGCAACGCAAAAGGGTGAGAAGCCAGTACCACAAACACAGACTTTAAGGTATATAAGCTATGACTGTGAAATGCGTATGAGTGTCAGTATACAAACCTTTTCTATATTGTCAACCCTGTTGAGGAGTTTAGTTGTAACTGAGTGTAACTTTAACAGATCCATCCCGTAAAACGCTCCCTCCAGTAACTCCATTATTGTTGAGAGCTGTAAAAGAAAGATCACAGTAGTCAGAATCATCACAGTACATTTTTCCCTGTTATTTTAGTTGTAAAGTCTTACTGTCATGTATGCTGTATTCAATAACCGCTTATGATGTGGACATTTCCATCAGATCAAATACAGTATGAGGAAATATTCCATTGGAAAGGGACATGGGGTAACTCCTTGTTTGACAAAGATAATACACAGATGGGGGTTGTTTTAAGAGGGAACCAGTGTCATGTTGTTTCCCCTCAGAGAGTGGCAGGTGCTTGTGTATTACCTTGATGTCATCTTTCCCGGCTTCCTGCAGCTTCTTGAACCTGTAATCTCCCTCGCAGGGATTCAGAGCAGAAGGCGGGGCTATACATGTACACTTTTTACAGTTGGGCCCTGATGTCACAGTCTCCACTGTGTAAAAGTCTTCAGCCTTTGCGGCACCCTCCTCTATCCGCCTGCAGGCACTTCTGCTCAGGGGTCTGACAACACATTTACAGCGACAGTCAGAGCCTTCCGACAGCGTTTTCACTTTGTCATAATCACCCAGCAGCTACAACGGAGAAGAGATGGGTAGAGCATGGGTAGTCCACCAATGAGGAGCACAGCATTACACAATTCACACAGTCACAAGGCATTGACAGACACATGCATTGGTGCAATTACTTATAGGATATAAGGAACTATTTAAATTGATTACTTATATGGATCAACACAGCATATTAATGAGAATGCATACATTTAACTCTACATAGGGAAAACTACCATCTCATCTCTCAGATACCAAATACTCTATGCACACTGCACATTGAAAATGGTTTAATGACTAAAAATCGACTAATGTCGAACAAATACTGTTGTTTTAACCACTTACAAAGTAACTACCAAGCAGACCGGGACCATTCCCAGGACATTCGCTAACATTCCCATAAAGTAAGGGCTTTATCTAGGATGATAACATCTCAAAAACATTCAAATTATGTTTTTGATAACAAAATGTTTTTTCTTCCTTCCCAGAAAATGTTTTAAATGAAATATCTTTGGAATGTTCTCCTAATGTTCGCTAAAATGTTGTGCACAACATCTGTCACAACCACCACAGAACATTCCCCTAAGGTTCTTATTAGGTTTCCAGGTAATGTAATAACAAAATGGGTTCTGGGAATGTTCTTGCAACATCAGGCAAATGTTTAATACAAACATTGTATAATCATCAGCACAACTGGACCGTTTTTGTGTTATAACTTTTGGGGCAACCTAATGAATGCTCTGGGAACGTTCACAGAACCAATTCTGGTTTGCTGGGCAAAACAACCACCTTCAACTTATCGCTTTGCAGATGCTTTATGGTTCATTGCAAAACGCCAATACTGACTAAAATGGCAATGCGCTGAGTGCATGTGTAATTACGCATGATAAGTGCGCAACATAATAGTTAAACTTTTCCCAGGCCAGTATTCATAGACTATCAAGTATCAATTATTAATATTCTATACTCAAACGGTATTATAATGCTTGGGAAAATGTCATTTTTCTTCCTCACCCCTGTTCTCATGAACTGCCTTACCTGGCTTTGGATAGGTAGGCTATGTGTAAAACTAGCCTATCTAATCAATCCGAACAAATCCAGAGCAAGGTCGTAAATACCTGAGTTAAAACGTTCTCCTGGTTGTCCATTTCATCATCCAGAAGTGGTCTGTCGGTCTGTTCTAGTTGCTCTTTAATTCCATCATGGACATCTGTCAAAGAGTTCTCCATCACATCGCTGGATGCGACTGGTGCCCAAGTAAGAGCAATGGCGCACCACAACAGGAGCAATTGCTGCAACCTAGACATCATCTCCTAAATTACCAGGTGCCTAATTGATAAGTTGTCAATCAAAAATCTATGCCTTTGAAACTATCTGCAGCGAATTCTAAAAGAAATCAAGTAGTTTGAAATATCCACATTTTATAAGAAAATGGCCATGATTAAAGAAAATGTCAGTGATCTCTCAATGGAAATTAATCCGAAATTAATTTGGAATCCTCTCAGGTGAAAATCATTGTGTTGCCTTCGCTGTAAGTGATAGGTATGATCCCAGTTGGAGGTGAATGAACAGACAAGTGAAAATTCTTATGGTTGATTATGGATAGGTGGGAAGGACTTGACCATATTGGATACAGGGTGGAGTCTGTCCCACAGATTGGATGTGAAACAATAATGTTACAAGGGATGTTCTTTCTTCTTAATTTTATACTCCCATCTAAATTGTAGCCTAAATGCCTCTTGGGAAATGTTTGTGAATTCAATTAAATTCCTGGCTAGTAGGCGATATTATTTTACTGACTGCAGACTAACTCATCACATACGCTGCTGCCTAGTCACTTTACCCCTACATTTTTGTCATTTAGCAGACTCTTATCTAGAGAGATTTACAGTAGCAGTTTGGGTTAAGTACACATCATCATTTTAACCTAGCTGGCTTGCAGATTCAAACCTGTGACCTTTCAGTTACTGGCCCAACGCTCTTAACCGCTAGGCTACCTGCCGCCCAACCTATATGTACATATCTACCTAAATGTCCTCATACCCCTGCACATTGACTCGGTATAGCCTAGTTATCATTCCTTATTGTGTATTTATTCTGTTATTATTTGTAAATTATTTTTATATTTTTCTCTCTGCATTGTTGGGAAGTAAGTATTTCACTGTTAGTCTACACCTGTACTTACGTATGATTC